TTTTTTAAGGATATTCGAAGAGATATATACCTCTGCTTCTTCTTTAGAGCTTTTATAACCTTTAAGGGTAAGAGGAGGAATAGAAAAATCGATTTCTAGTTCTTCGTCCGTTTAATTATCGATTTCTATTTTTTCTGCTTTTAATATATATAGAGAAGAGGGTTTTTTCGTCTTCTTATTAATATAAAAGTCTAATTCGATAGGATTTCCTTCTATAAAAGGTTTTCTAGGCCTCTTAAAAGGTATTCCTTTATTTTAATTTTTTAAATTTTTAGAAAAGCCTTTAAAGGCCTTTTCCGGGTAAAGATAGTAGTAATCTTTAACTAAATACCCTTTCTTCTTATAGTAAGTATATTATAATATATTTTTATCTTTTCTAGGGCTTCTTAGTAAAGAAAGCTTACTTAAGGGGATTTTCTAGAGACTTAGTCCTCTTAAATTCGTCTATAAGACTACTAGAGAGAGACTCTAAATTAAAAGCCTCTAAGTTATTTCGAAGAGCTTACGTTATATTAGTTATATAGGTATAAAACGAGCCCGAAAGGCTATTTAAAATCTAAGCTATAATAACTACTTCTAGAATTATAATATTCTATGCTTTTAGCTCCTCGAATACCTCTATTACCTTATTTAGGTAGCCTTCTAAGGATTTAAAATCCTTTACTAAAGTATTAAAAAGCTCCTTTATAAGTAGGTAATTCGAAGTAAAGGAAATAGGGTTATATAGGTTTTTTAACCTATCTTACGCCTCTTTAACATTTATTATATACTTTATTTAGGTTAAAGGACTATCTTTAATACGAAGAAAAATTAAAGTAAGTGCTTCTTCTATCTTCGAGTAATTTTCTTACTATATAGTAGTAGAAAGCTTCTCCTTAACTAAAAGAGCTTATATTTAAATAGCCTAGAAGGTATAGTTAGAACTACCCTTAAGTTTAGTAAATTCGAACTTATCCCTAGAGCCTATTTTAGAGAATTCGAGGTCGTATAGTTAGTATTAGAACTTCGAAGTTACTACCCGACCTATAAAGAAGCCGGGCTTATAACCTATAAAAAGGTATAAGTAATAAGCGTAGGATCGGGTAATTAATAACGTAAGCGGAAAGATTGGTTAAAGGAGTATAAGGTAGGATTTCGTCCGGAATTTATAACGAGCATATAAGGGGCTGAATAATATATTAAAAGAATAGCGTTGCAAAAGATACTTATAAACTTACTTATTCTATCTACTACTCGTAGGGAAATCCTTCGTCTTTTATAGACCATTGCTCGCCTACTAGTAGACCAATTAGTTAGCTTTCTAGTATATTCTATAGTGCTTAAAAAGCTCTATCTATAGCATGTCTTCCTAACTTAGTAGGTAGTCCGATTATAACGTAATAGTTAACGTAAGACTATAGGTTCTAGTATAAGTAGTAGATTTAACTAGAATGTTCTATGCCCTACCTATTCTCGTATCGCGGATATCTTTAGAACCGCTAGGCTAAAATAGGCAATAGGGTATCCGCTCTACTCGTAATTAACTTATGCATTTTATGCATATTTTATTTTATTAGGATAGGCTTATCTTAACCCGCCTTTCCTAAAGGAAGGTATAGATATCTAGTAGAGGTCTTTATCTTTAAGGGTTATTCTATTAGACTATATTATAGAGCCTCTTTTTACTAGCTTATTCTATAGAGCCTCCCTATGCCTGTTATTTCTTTATAATAGTAAAATAGGAATATAAGGGTATATTCTTATACTTTCTTTCCTTTATAGGCTATAACCCTTAGCCTCCTAGTAAGTTTAAGAAAGTTAGTAAAGAGGATAAGGGTTATAACGTTATAGGCTAAATATTATATAGGGATATAGCTATTATTAATCTTATAAAAGTAAGGCTCTTATAATAAGATAAGGTCTACTCTTACTTTTAAGGCTTACTTTAAGATCGATAGGTTAGCTATTTCCTACCTATTAATATTATACTATATAATACTAATAGGGTTATAGTTAAGCCTAAAGGGCCTAAGAGGCCTTAAGGGCCCTATAAGTATAAGGGGGCTAAGGCTATTAAGTATTAGTTATTCTTTTATAGACTTTATATTATACCTTCTTAGTTATAAAGTACTCTCCTTTATAGTTATAGTATTAAACCTTAAAGTAAGAGTAGCTTTAGCTAGCCTTATAGCTAAGGTAGTTATAGTCCTTAGTTAAGTACTTTTCTAGGTAAAAGATATACTTAATAAGCTATTAGTAGGTCTAAGGGTTATAGCTAAAGGAAAGGCACCTATAGTACTACGTATATATAATATATTCCTTATAGGCCTTAACTTAAATCTATAGACCTACTATATAAAGGCCCTTCTTTTAGTATTTAGCCCTTATAGCCTTTAAAAGAACTATAAAGATAACGGATCCTACCTTCTATATTAAGCTTAAGCTGCTTAGCTACCTAAGCTGCCCTAGGATATCGATCTAGCTAAAGGTTTTAGCTTTTACGGTAAAGATATTAAGGATAGGGGTCTTTAAAAGGTTAGGGACGCTTTAGGCTACTAGCTTAGTCTAGCTAGTAAGAAGGTCGGCCGATTTAATAGGTAGCTCCTTAAGGTATAAGGACTACTTCTCTTATTACTTTAAAAGCTTTTTTACTATATAAGGGGCCTTTATTATTATAAAAAAGGCCTTAAGCTCTTAGGCCTATAAGGGCTCCTAGCTAGCTTTCCTTCTTTTTAAGTTATTATTCGGCCCTATAATAGCTATTAGGCCTTTAAGAAGACGGAAGAGTTACGTGTAGGGCCTAATATAACTTAAGGCCCCGAGGTCGGAGCCCGAGTCGGCAAGGTCATCCTATATAGCTAGTTATAGGCCTGCCTTATAGGGTGACTAGGTAAGAAGTATAGGGTCCGAAGGGCATAGGAGAGGCATGCCCTTTCGAATCGTACCTCTGGTAGCGGCAGGGCCGCTTCGGCTTCTAAGGCCCTAATAGGGGATCGCTTCTTGTGTTTGCGTCCGCGGGGAGAAGCTGAGTCGGTCAGCTCTGCGTCGCCGGCAGATCGGTGAGTGTTCTTGGGCCCTCGACCTTGTTCCTCTGAGCCCGCCTCCTCTTCGGCACCCCAGTTGGAGTGCTCAATATTCTGATTGGTTTCATTCAAGTCGTTATTTCCGGACCCGATCACTCGGCTGGCCGCCTGGTCGGCGTCATCTCTGTTAATTCCCACGTCAGTATCAAGCTGCTCGTCTACCGGCTCACCCTCTATGCGACTGGCGGGAGTGGTATTGCCTTCCTTTAAAGACGTCTCCTGCTGTGTCAAATTGAAGAAGCCCCGTCCCAACTTGGACCATTTTTGGACTGCTTGCATTGACTGCCTTTGTTTCCGAGGGCAAACAACCCGAATCAGGACGGTTTTGGACTTTGCATCCCATTGTAGGCAGACCGTAGAACAGGTGCCTGCCTCGACCACCTTGGGCAAATCGAAGACCACGGGTGACATGACCGTTGCGCCTCGACCCAAGGCAAAATGCTCGAGCCCTGTGTCAGGAGACGGTACGCATAGTGGAGCATGGCGGCTCAGGTAGGCCGTAAACATAGGGAAATCCTTTAGATTGTCCAAGCCCATTGGCTCACTCTTGACTCTAAATACCGGAGCATCACCTTTGTCGAGCTGACTTGGCTCTATTTTCTTCTTGAAGACAGTGAGCTATTCTTTGCTGCGTTGAAGGCGGGCCGATGGCCTACCTCTTTGCCACGACTGCAGCCGATGCCAAACCATGACTCGCCGAATCGCGACTCCATATCCTACTACTCGGCTATATCGGCTGCACCCGAGGCTATATTTCCTGTCCGTTTCGTCAGCATCATAGTTATGTTACGTCTGCAAAGAGTCCTCGGCCTTTTGGAAGCGGGGTTCCAGATTGCACAACTCCTTGACTTTGTGGACCAACATATTCTTGATGCCCTCGGTGGACGAAAACGCGCCGCCAGTGATGATTACGGCGTCAATCCTGGTGGCCCTCTTGCGTGTCTGGCGAACTACACTTTCGATGGTTCTCAAGGGTCCGCTCATGGCTTCATGCCTGGCTTTCCTGAATTCCGTTCCGGCAACTTCCACGTCTTCGCAAAATTCGTTCATGCCAAAGAAGACACGTTCCCCATCGCGGAACAGTGTCTGCTCCCCCAACTTCTCTTGGTCGTCGTCTTGAAGCCAGAGCAGCGATGTCCTGCAACAAACTTCAGCCTGATGCTCGCTCATAACAATGCCACATTCGTATAGAAGAGGCTTGTTGGCGTAATGCCGCGACTCCCAGTCAGCTCAAGGCATAGCTCATATTCAGTCTCTCTGGTCTTGCAAGGGAGAGAAAGGCTATCGCTCATCACCGTAAACACGTCGTATGCACCATAAAAAGCTGACAGCAAGCTCTCGAGGTCGTAAACATCAGCATAGGTAGGAGCGAGTTGATGACTGGCTGAACCATGTTCCTGAGATAGTCATCGAGCACCTATACTGACTGAAGTTATTCCGCACAATGGGGCGGACGGGAAAGAAAGAGTGCCTGTACAAGACTGCACGAACGAAAACGCCCCCTCCCAAACCGGTGGCACCTGGCACGGTGACAACGCAATGATGAACCGACTGAATGTTAGTTGATGTCGTCAGAAGCTGTTGGTTTGAGCTTGTTGAGCGACCTAGCTGTAGAGTTTCGACTTCAATGTGCCTTTTGGAACCGTTTAGGTGCTCGCTCCGGCATTACGGGAAACCTCCAGACCTCGGATCTGGGAGAGAGTATGATGAGATCTGATGAGTGCTGCTACCATTTGGCTACGGCTTATCTTACTGAGACACTCAGAGGCAATAATACATTCACGTATTCATACGGAAGGCAGTATGGGCGTGGATATGGCGCTCGAGCGAGCACCTCGAAAGTAAGGAGGCTGGCTGGACAGAGGCTGGGGTTTGTTCTAATAGTCTCTATTGTAATGCTTCAAGTTGATATACTTAATATTAGACATTTACTCTAAGCTACGCAGCCACTTTCTCAGTCAAGCTCGGCCGTCTCTCTATCTGCGCAACAAAGACCTTGCGGAAGCGCCCGTTGCAGAGATCCGTCACGTTCTGCTTGACTCCCACCCAGTTCTCCCACGCAATGTCCATTGTCGGGCGAGAAAACACGGCATCAATCTCCTCGAGCGTCTTATTCTTAGTCTCGGGCATGAACAAGATTTGGTACACCTCGCCGATGACTGCGATGCCCCCGTAGAAGCCAAGCGTCAGGCCCGTTCGTGTCATGGCGTTTTGCATGGCGGTGAAGTTGTAGGTGACGACGAACGAAGCTAGGAATAGCAGAGCGTCCGACGTTGTCATTCCATAGCTTCGCAGATACGTGGGGTAGACTTCAGACGGAATCACTGTTTATTTGGTGTTAGCAAGGACGAGCCTGTACTGTAGCATGGTTCTTCTATATAGGGCCACTCACCCCAAGTCAGGCAAGCGTAAGAGCCGAAAAATCCCATGTAGATGATAAGCCCGGCCAGGTACAGGCCCTCAACGGCCACTGTGTGCGTAGAAATGGGGATCTGATAACTGATGCCAATAAGGACCAGGCCGATGAAGAAGCCGGGTAACATCGTGATGGCCCAGAAGCGCCGGCCGCACGTCTCCATGAGGAAGATGGCCGGGATCGTGCCCAGCATCAGGGATCCGCCGCCGACCAGGGACATGTAATTGGCCTGCTCTGCATCAAAGCCGATCTGGTTCATCAAGACGGACATGTAGTACATGATGGCGTTGATTCCCGTGAGCTGGCCCAAAAGGATCATGATGTTGGCATACACGAGAGCTCGACGTGCGCGGGAGACACTGAGCATTAAAGGCATCGCGTTAGATGGGCCATTTAATATCACGACGTCGAGAAGGGTGACTTACGTGAAGAAATCCATCCAGGGGAACCGACGGTTCTGGGCGCCTTCGTTGACTTCGGTCTCTTCTTGCCGGACGGTCGCGGCCATTGCGAAATACTCCTGCCGCGACTCGGGAGAGGAAATGCCTCGAATGCGTTTCCAGACCTTGTACGAGGCGAGTGTCTTGCCCTTGTGCATCAAGAACCGCGGACTCTCGGGGAGGAAAAGCATGCTGTCGCGGAAAAGCACACGCGCCTTCACGTCAGCCAACCTTTCTCGGACATCAAAGCGCGATAGGAGCGCGAAAGACAGCAGGGGGCAGGTTTATAACACACCCGAAGAACATGATGGTCGAGAAGACGAGCGACGATCCAAGAATGTATCGCCAATTGCCGGGAACCTTGAGGAACATGGCCGCGACAGCGTATCCGAGCACCTCGCCGAGAGCAATGTTGAACTGGTAAAGCGACACCAGATTTCCCCGAATGCGACGCTCCACGGTCTCGGCGACGTAAACCGGGACCGTGCCGCCCTCGAGGCCGACGCCCAGGCCGAGGATGACGCGCGAGGACACAATCATGCCTGTGGAATCATGGCTCACGTCGGTCAGTCTGGCCGGGGAACTCAATGTTCGCAAAGGACCCACCAAAGTTGATGGAGCCGGCCTCGAGCGCGGCACCAATGGTGTAGAGTACGATGGAGATGATGATGGCACCCTTACGGCCCAAGCACTCGTTGGACGGCGACAAGAGCAACGCACCGCCAACGGCGCCCAGGGGCATGGCCGAGTTAACAAGGCTGTTTTGCCGCTCCGAGAGCCCGAGGTCCTTGGGCAGGTACAGGTTGGCGCCCGAGATGAGGCTCTGGTCCAGGCCGGACAGCAGGCCGCCCATGCTGGCAAAGGCCACAAGGAGCCAGGTGAAGTGGTGTGGGTCCTTGAACTCGACGTTGAAGAAGCCCGTCTCCAGGCCGCCGCTGGCCTCGAGCTGCTGCTCCATATCCTGGATCAGGGCGTCGACGTCGTTGCTGCCGCCGGCCATCTCGAACGTCTCATGCCCGCACTCATCGTAGCCTTTGTCGTCCGTGGCCACGGTCATGGTTTCTCGTCGGTGTTGCGACTGCGCAAAGCTAATGGACCGATTGCTTGATGTTCTCCGTCGACTACTTGCCAGAGCAAGGTGAGCGTGGGAAGGCCCACGCAGATATATTCTCTGATGGTTTTGAGAGCGTGTGCTGGTTTCACGACGAGGCAGCCCCGGACGACTCTCTATATACGCTCTCGCTTTACACACTCAATGACCTCGTCACCACCACGCCCCTTGCCGGGTTCCGCATTCTGTCGACACACTAAAAAAAATCTAAATCGCTGCCCTTGGGGCTGCAGTGCGGAGGCTTCTCTCCCCAGATGGGGGAGAAGGGAGGGGGTGGAGGATGCGAGCCGTATCCTGGTGTGCGGGTGACCGATGGTAGACGGAACGCGCACCTCTCTGCCGTACTGGATCACGCTCTAATGCATGACCCTTGTTCCTTGTCGACCTTGATGTAAGGGGGGGCCCTTGAGCCGTGGCATTCAACCGAGCAATGGACCGACATTCGAATAGTTCCTTTCACATCTGCAGGCCTCTTTAGCATTTCTTTCGCAAGAGAATCATTGATGCCTCTCCACGTTTAATTTAGCCAAGGTGAGGAGAAAGGATGGAAACGAAAACGACGGTGGTGCAGCGCGTATTTCGTAGTGGTGTGTGCGAGACTGAATCATACTGCGAATCGGTCTGCCCGACCCCCCGTCATCGACGAGATGCCGGGACTCCAGCCGGCAACTAACCATGGCCATCCACCCCCCGCCGGAATGTACACATGGGAACTTACTGCGTGTGAGCAGAAAGCGGCGCCGCTTCCCCCCTCTCGGGCGCAGATCCCAAGGCGGCAGCCTACCGGGCCCGCATCTGCCCCTCCAGCGGCAAATGAGGGGCGAAACTCGGTGTAAGTCGGCTTGGGATGTCGGATCTATTCCTGTGAGTCTCGTGGGCGGCAAAAGATGGCCGAAACGGGGAAACGCCGCTCCACTGTGAGGCACGCCGTGAGGATTCTGGGTTGTCAGCGACGTCGAGCTTCATGATCCCGAGCCACTTCAAGAGGGCCCGCCTACCCATGCTGAGCGGATGAGGGAATTTGTTGCAGAGGGCAGCCTGCCTTGATCATGACAGGACAGACTGCGTTTCTCACGTCTTCAACCTTGCCCCGGTCCACGCCACTGGCATAGCCAACGCCGGATCGTCAGCGGCGTGCAGCACTGGTGCTTCCGGTGCTTCTCAATGGCTTTCTAGAATCCTTCTCTCGCCACTCGGTCCGACGCTGCACGATCGTCCGGCAGATGCTGATCCCATTCGGGTGACGCGGCTGGTCGGCCCGAGAAGCCCCCCAAAGCCAGCTTGCATCTCCAACTGATTCCCTGTCCCGAGGTGCGGCACATGCACGTTTCGGACCGGCCATGTACAGCAGCATCGAAAAAAAAAGGGGGGGGGGGTGGCAGCGGGCATCAAAGCGTTTGCGGCCTCTTGCTGTGCTTCATAAAGCCCAGCCCGCATTCCAGCCATACCATATCAGGCGGCGGGAGCTAGCAAAAAAACAAGACAGTCTCCACGGATCCCTTCAAATAGCCAGTAGATTCAATTGTATTGGGGGTCAAGCTTGAATAGCGTCAGATCTATTGGACGACATGCTTACCTTATTCAAGCATCAATCGCAGGACCATCAGTGTCGAAGGAGAGGCCAAAGCTAACCTTCATCGTAGGCTACTTCGAGGGCCGGAAGAGAGCTGCGCTGATCGCCAGACTCAATCCAAGACCATCGGCAGATCTATTCAATCCCCACGATGTAAGCTCAAGGGCTTGACACCGGCCTTGACAAAAGAGACCCTCTACTATCGGCTGCACGCTCAAACCACTTTTTCGCGTTTTCACGACTTGTCTCGACGTGAGGCCGGTTATCTTGCGTCTTCTTGGCCGTCGCAATCAGATGCGTCTTGGCCTTGTCAGCCTCGAACAGATATGCGAGCTCTTCCAGAGTCGGCCCAGCCGTCTCAACGAAGCAAAAGTACACCACCAGAAAGATGAGCGCGACCCAAACGCAGTAATAGATGTAAAATTTCCACCCGATGTTCTCGAGACCGATGGGGTTGACGTAGCTTCCGAAAATCGTCGCGACCTGGATGGTGAGCAGGACAAATGCCCACGTCTTGGCTCGCATTTGGTACGTCACAACTTCGAGAGGGTATGTGACAACCAGATTCGTCCAAGCAAAGGTGTAAAAGGCCTGGAAGACGAAGATGCAGGCGAGAACCAAGCGACCAGCCGCGAGAGAGCCTCGCTCCAGATATTGCTGCGCCGCAACGGTCCACACGATAAAGGTTACAAGCACGCCGCCCGAGCCGACGACGAAAAAGGTTCGCCGCTTGAATCTGTCAATGAGAGCCGTGACGGCGAGGGCCACCATGTACTGCCACAACGTGACCATGCCGTTGACGAGAGTAATGTCTTTGTCGGCCTTGACCCCGGTGTCCTTGAGAATCTGTGCAAGATAGTTAGAGACGAGGAGGTTGCCCGAGCTCTGGCTGAAGACGGCCGTGGCAAGGCACAGGCCGATGCGCTTCAAGTTAGACCTGGACGAAAAAAAGGCCGCCCATGACAGGCTTTGCTCGGCCTCGGCGGCGATGACGTGCTGAATCTCGGCACACTCAAAGGCGACGAGCTCCGAGTTGGGGTCACCTTCACCGTGATACTTGGTCAGGATCTGCCTCGCCTCGTCCATCTTGCCCTTGGCAATCAGCCAGCGCGGAGACTCCGGACAGAAGAAGATGAGCAAGAGCTGATAGGCAGAGGGGACAATCTGGATCAAAGTGGGGAGCCTCCAGGACCACTGAGTTGGAATCTGGAAACAGCCATAGGTTGCCCACGCGCCAATGACATAGCCAAGAACAATGGAAGTGTTGTAAAAGGTGGTTATCTGCACGCGCTCTTTCGGGTGGCTCAGCTCGGTGATCAAGACTGGTGCACCCATCTGTATCAGCGACGAGCCCATGCCCAGGACAACCTTGCCGCCTATGTACATGCTCAACGTGGTTGCGAAGAACTCGATGAGGACGCCTGTGATGATGACGATGGACCCGAGGGCCGTCGGCAGGCGACGGCCGAGTTCGTCGCCAATCCAGCCGAGAAAGAGAAAGGGGATGACGCCGCCGATGGAGTTTGAGGCGCCAAAGAAGCCGAGCTGGGACCCTGTAGGGTGGCCAAAGCGATCCTGCCAGGTGGGGAGGACTTGCATGCCGTTGGTCATGGACTGTGTTGACGCAGGAAGCAGATGATTTGATTAGCTGTAGGCTGCACCTCGGCTGTGTCTGGGCTTGACTTGACTCACGCCATCGAGGCCAAGGGCGGCACTGGCCAGCAGAGACGACGTCAAGAGAAAGTAGAGCAAAATTCCATTCTTTCTTTGCCAAAAAGGAGGGATCGAGCGCAGGTCCACAGGGGGCAGGATGCCGTCAACGGCGTGGGCCGCCGACGGAGCCATGGCGGTCGAGGGATTGCGGCGATGGGCGAATCGAACCAAGCACGCGGTAGGGCTGGATCCAGGCACGTATCGGAATGCGAGAGGCTCCTTGCAAAGGTCCGGCAGACTCAAGGGGCTTGAAAAGGGTCGTCACGAAGGCCCCGCTCGAGACCCACAGGTCGTCGAGTTTGCTCTCGACCAGACGCCAGGAGGGGCAGGCAGCAGAAGTGTCAGCCGTGCATCGAGGGCGGTTATGGGGGAAGCCCCTTTGTGCGACCATGGCCGGTCGGAGTAATGTTGAGCATGGCGGAGAAATACGTGCGAGGAATTGGATTCTCGTCGACGGAATCAGAGTTTTGTTGTTGCCTGGACATGCGCTTCTGAACAGCTCATCGCAAAGTCAAAAGCTCGATGCGGCAGACAGTCGACATTGAGCATAAAAGCAAAGCGTCGCTCGCCGTATTTGCGGGTTGGTGCAGCGGGTAAGCAGTTGAAGTCTGAAGTCATCAAGTCGTGCGGCCTCGGCCCGGTCTCCTATATCATGTGCAGTTGGCTCTTTCAGTTGATTAGCGCTCCTAGTAAGAGGCCTCTCGGATTCCGAACAGGGTGCGTATGTAGGTAATGTCCACCAAGTTTAACGAACAGTCCGAACATTCTTCAAACCCCAGTCTCGTCCACGGCTCCTAGTAGTGTAGTGTACATAGAAAATATAAGGAACGTCTCGTACGTGATGGCCAATCCGGCCCAGGAGCTGCAAGTCCAGTTCAAAGCGCAGCTCGATGCGAGACAGCCACGTCTTTCTCGCCCTTACATGCTTGGTCGACCGCTCTGGTCAAGGTGTTGTTACTAATAATCTCATCAGACTCGGTGCAATCATCAAAGAAATGGGCCCCGCCATCGTTTCTAAGCCTGTAGTACTCAGCATATGGGTTCTTGGCGGACAAGTCGTAGCGAGGGCTCGACATGCCCCAGAGCAGGTTCCCTGCGGCCATAGCCTCCAAGATATCAAACGACGCCACGACGGAGGGCGACAAGTCGACGGCTTGTTGCTGGAAGAACATTCCCTTCGAGGCGTGGTATTGTTCGTCGAGCTCCACCACTTTGGCCTTGATCGTGCCTTTTGCTCTTTCACTGACATTGAACTACACCTCATATAGAGCATGGCAGCATTTGCATTGGAAATGGGACCATCCCCTTTGGAGTTCCGAAGCATGTGGGAAGCGTAAATGTAGTACTCTTTGTCAAACGAAAAATAATCGTTGGTGAGAACGAAAAGCTCATAAAGTGGCCGGACAACCGGCGCGACTGCTGCTTCTTCTTCATCGGTCAGATCGATCCCGGCTCCGAAACGGGCAAGAGCAGTAACAAGACTGAAAGTGTCAGCTTTGTTCTCCCGCATGATATCGGATTCTTTCCCTGCTTGATTTGAGAAGGACTTGATGGGTGCATTGTGTTGTGGGAAAAGGCTACGTGTACTTCTGGTGACGATGTCGTTGGTCAGAGACGTGCGCAGACAAAGTTCAACGAGATAATGAAGATTGCATCCTGGCATGGAGACGCATGTTTTAATCATTTTGGCGCGAAGTACGAATACTTCGTAGCTATTCAAGCCTCGGTTACTGACACTGTACTCCTTACATGTCTGAATGTCATGTCGAGTTGTACCCACATAGAGCATCATCACTTGACATTGTTGAATAATGACACCACTCTGAGTTTCGTGACCGGAATATTGGCGCGTACACGCAAAGGCAAATCAGTTGCTATGTCTTTTCACGACCGTGCTCTGGCTTCAAGGAAGGGCAGGCTTACAACTCCGCCAAGGTCCCAAAGAAGCATCCACAGGGTCCGCAAGCTACCCTTCATTGTCATGCAGGACTACATGTAGAACTTCGGGACAGCTTTCAACCTTGCTGGATGTGAATTACACATACATGGCTGGCTTCACGGCCGGGGTTCCTCCTGACTGGGTAGGTCAGTATAATGCTCGACCGGGCCTCATTCACTCATGTTGTCGAGGGCAGTCTCTAACCTAGACAATGTCAAACACGGACAGCTCTCCAGAGCAAAACATTTCCGTCTTGCCCCAGCTGTCAACGACGAAATGACCTATTCTTCGATACCGCCTCTGGCATTCTGGCTCCTCAGGAATCTGTTCCAAAACCAGGCAGAATATGTGTGGTCGTTTGCTGCCATCCGACTCGTCTGTGTAATAGTCCAGCTTGAGCGGCATGCAAGAGACGATGCTGCCTTGCTCCAAGCATGTATCCGAGAAATCTGGAAACACTTGGACAGAGAATCGAGGCTTAGCAGGGCTACGGTCCATGAACTCGAAAGAAACCAGGTGTGCCCCAGCAACACGGCAGACAACACGCACGAGCCGGCCTCGGAGGGTAATAGAACCGCCCTCTGCGGCCGACATTGGATCAGGCGTCCGAGTCACAACTTGGGCGCTTATAAGCTCGACAAGCAACTCGGCGTCGAGCGAGATGCCGTACGGTCTCACGAGTCCCCCGACCGAGGCCCATGACCAAGAGGGCGCCATGTGCTCGAGATTCTGGCGAGGTTGGGGGACATGCACCCGCCAGTCTAGCATGGCAGGGAGGCGAGATCTCCACAGGCCGGCGAGATACTCGTCGCCCGTCGTCTCTTGGAAAAGCTTTGCGATGCCCGCCATGGCAAAGAGCTTGTCCGAGGGCTTCGACAGCTGACAGTGAGAGTACTGCTGGACGAGGTCGGTCCACAATCGAAGCGTATCGTAGCTCATCTTTCCTGCGTCTGCGGAGCTGGCTTGTGAGGAATTGTCTAAAAGGGGCCCTCTAATCTTATACGACCAATGGGTGGGAATGCCCTGCGGAAACACTTCGCATCTGTGGCTGGTAAAACACTCCCATAAAAGCTGGTGGTGAGCGAAATAGAGGACGCGCGGCGCCAGAAAGCGTTCCTGGAAAACCCACCCCCGGTTTTGCAATGGGCTGTTGAGCATCTGCCGATCCCAGTATGACTCGTCTAAGATGTAGTGGACAGCCGACTGGGAGGAGAAGAGAGAGCTCTCCACCAAGCCGGGCCGAATCATGTCCACGTCTCTAGGCTGAAAGAGACTCTCATCGGGACATCGTGACGCCGACGCGGCAACGTTGCACGACGAATTAGAGTATACGTGCTGCATCGTCGGAGCCTCGGCTTCCCAATCGGCTTGCGAGTCTTGCATGATGCATAGCGCGTCGATCCATATATAGCGGACGCGAAAATGCCGAGCAACAGCGATGACATCTCGAAAGAGAATGGGAAGAGTGCTGATGGGGCGCCCGAGCTGTCGGAGCTCCTGCACGTTGGATGAAGTGAGGAGAATCTTTGGGTTTGGGGCCCAGCGATAACTCAGAGTTAAGTACTCCGCCCATGGCGGCGAGACGCCGTCTTGAGCGACAAGACAGACCTTCCAAATAGCCGAGTCTTGGGTCCCCACGTCGACGAGTCGAGTTGGGTGCCATTTCTGCATACCATGTTGCTGCTGACTGCAGCCCGGGTGAGAGGACATGCAGTTGGCTAGCCAACTCTGTCCTAAGGCCAGTGTTGCTTCTGGCGAGACTTGGGCTGCAACATGTGGAAGTTGGCGCTGTTCCTGAAACTCCGGGTCTGCCGCCACAGCGTTCTGTGAGTATATGAAGCCAAAGAGGCATGCTATGGCGACACGAGGGAGACTCAACCATTGATAGGTATCAAGCGAAACTCGACCTCGGCCACCTGGTTTGAGGCTGGTTTGTGGTATACGACGAGTATGTTGATGACGCTGGCGGCGTCGTAGTCTTTGTAGGGCCTGTACTGCAGCGGCTTCCAGAGCTGGGGCGACGCGACCCATAGATGGCGACAGTCGTGGCTAAGGTTCCAGACGACGAAGCAGATGACGCAGCGCTTCTCGACGGCATCTACAAACACCTCAAACGTCTGCGCGGTTGGCTGGGCCAACACGACGGGGCGCAGGATATGGCGGCAAATCGGGCAGAGATGGCTTGGGCGCTGCTCTTCCATCTATGTCAAGCCACTTGGATGCGTGGGAGTGGGCGCGCTGGAGAGTTGATGACGGGCTAAGCAGTGCAACGACGACGCTTGGTGCCAGAGCGGGGATGAGCATCACTGAGTACATTTGATGTAGGGAATGGCTAGTTATTTCCGGCCCCGACTCAGGTGATCCCTGCCCCTTGAAGCAGGATCGTAAATGTGAAGCTGGTTCAATACCGCTACACCAGGCAAAATAGGGGCACCCGCATTGGAGGTGTTATGAACGCGTATTCTAAGTCCTCTCTCTGCTCTGACAGTAACCAATCATTAGTTAGGTGCCTCCGAGATGGCTATTATAGTTCCTAAAGGTAAACCCCTCGCATTCTACCGAAAACTAATTAAATAATCTAAATAGACACTCTCGGAGCTAACTCTAGGTCCTAGACGAACCTGAATCCTAACCCTAAGAGATGACTCGATTAGTAGCCTTGGGTCTAAAAGCATCAATATTGCTAGGAGTCATGAAGAATCGCAGCAAGCCAAGAGAGCATGTACGAATACTGTCCAGCAGGCTCACCAGCTATGTGCATACGCGAGGCTCCAGCCCCGGTCCTCGCCACCTCTGCCGTGCTTATGCTCACTATTGTCTAATTTTATATTTGTACCCTGCGAGTACATCACAATCAGAATAAAGGTACGGCATTATTCATCGCCCAGCTCCGGCTAAATATCACCTCTGGAACCAGTCCTTGGAATCGGGTAGAGACTGGGCGTACACCTGAGAGCCCGAATTGGGGGTGGATGGCCCCAGCACCCGAGTCAAAAACTCGACGACATCGTCCATCCCGGCTGGCTAATTGAACCAGTGCCCGCCTTGCTGATATTCATTCCACAACACCTGTGCGCCAAAGCCTACGAGCGTGTCGCGCAAGACTCGTCCGTTGGCGACGAGCACCAGAGGATCATCGACGCAGTGCTCCAGCAGCACTGGTGTATTGCGCAGGACCTCGTTGCTCGTAGGCACGTCGTCGCCGAGGCCGAGTATCGCCCGCGTCTCGGCCGGGCTTCTCCCCGGAAAGGGCATCCTGCACGAAAAGCCCAGATACGCCCCCAGCCTCGGCCCTGCGTCTGCATGAGTAGAACTCGGGGCCGGCAAGCTGAGGTTGAGTAGCGCGTGGGTGGTGGTGGCGGCCCCCTGACTGATGCCGGCCAGCAAGGCCGCTTCCTCGTGGAGGAGCCGGAGGATGCGAGCGACGCTGTCCTTGAGGCAGGGTGCCTGCAGAAGCTCCCGTTGCGAGAAGTCGGTGACGTTCCAGATATCAAACCACTGGGACGTCTTCTGGCCGCCCAACGCGGCGCACTCGCTCAGCGGCGCGCGAGGGAAGACCCAGCGGAAGGATGGAAAGGCGGCGCGGAGCGTGCGGCGACGGGAGTCGGTCGAGTGCTGCAAAGAGGTCGCGAAGCTGGCCGCGTTGTCACCGCGGCCATGCAGGAACACAATGGTGTGCGAGTGAACCGCCATCGGCGCGACGGCCATGGGGGCCAGAGTAGAGTCCATGATGAGAGTTGGGAACGACTGGAGAGTGAGAGGCCAGTGACGGGCCACCTCCTCATATGATTCCCTGGGCTTGGAATATGAAGACAACTTTCGTCCTATCACAAACAGAGCTCGAGGACACTCTTGGCCCAGGACAGATGGGCAGCGCTTACATGTACAACCAACACGCGTGGGAAGGCAGAACCCTGAGAGCCAGCAAAACGTAGAATCAGGCTCCTCTGTGCGTGCGCCGGGGCCCATGGGCAGGCCAGGATTATGGGATGGCTTTCAATGCGACTTTGGCTCTTGGACATTTAAGGCATAAAGAAAATGCAAGCTTATCGGAGTCTTGGACGCTGATGAATAACCTAAATGTTGTCGCGTTCTTCCCAGCTCCGCTTCTCAACTTCAACTTCTTTTGAGTAGTCTTCAAATGCCTTGGAGACGTTGTGAATGAGCCGGCGCGCCATATCATTGTACTTGAGGGATTCGAATAGCGCCTTGGTGTATTCCCAATATTCCGGATGTCCACGATCCCCGTCACATCCCAGCCTTTACTCCCGTCCGCTCTCGTCACCTCGTCTACCGGAATGTTTCGAAGATTCAAGTCGGCATGGGTCAAGAAGACCCAGTGGTTCCAGCGGCTTTGGTCGTCTGGGTTTCGCAACAGCTGATCGAAAGCCGCTTCGTCCACAAATGGCCCAACGGGCTTGCGGGATGAGGTGATGAGAGCAGTAACCTAGACCGACCACACTCGACAACATATTGCCAGTCAGAGGTAAGCAGAGCAGCTTGTCCTCGCAACCCGTCGCCGCGCTCACAGTTGTGCTCGATGTAGATAGCCGCCAGGCCGGGGTCCAGGGCTTCTTCGACGAAGGCGCAGAGTAGCGGGCCCAGGAGATGTGGCAGGTTTGTCTCTTGAATGAGCGATAGCGCCCCGCGCACATGCTCGGCGTCGGCAGCAGTCATTCCTGCTAGGTTGGGGGCCGGACGAGATTCCTTGTTAGAAACATCTTTTGCGTGGCTGCCGAAGGAAAGAAGGGGCGTTGAGCCTATGCTAAGTGGTAGGTTGGATGTTCAATTAGGGTCCGGAATATCATCCGGCGACGGCCACCATGGGACAAGGGGCGACTCCTTGTAGCGCGACCCTCGAGCCGCTGGAACACTGGGAATGCCCTCGCCATCTGTCTCTCGACGTCGAGGACAGAAGCATAGAGAGTCGGATGAAGTAACTCAGCCGTCGGCACATACACGTGGTCTTTCGCATATGTCGTTTATAGCCGGCAAAGCAGAAAGGCACATCAACATGCACAGACCCCTATATCTGTTAGCTGAGATTCTGGTTGTTCCTCCTCCCTCTCTCGTGTTGGAAGTTTTCGGCTTTGGTTTAATTTCACGTGGCTTTCTCGTGTACGAAAGGAGGATTGTTTTTGTTTTACGTTTCTCAGTTCGCTTTCCTTCAATGACATCTACCAATTCTTAAGCCTGAAGAAGAGAGCATAAAACCATCTCTAAAGCTACAGGCTGAATTGACTCTAAGTATAAAGCGTAGAGTTGCTTCGTAGCGCGTCAGATGCCCTGGAATCCAGCCTTGTTAGTATGTCAAGGAGGACCGTAAAGTCGCCGCGTGCTCTCGCGCCGAGAGGAGATGTCTGGTTTCGATGAATGATGGCCAGCAAACTGGCCCCTATCAAGCGAATCTTTTCCACCTGTGAGGTGAAATATTAAAGTCAGTAATTGATATGAACGGTGGGCCCCGAACTCGTAGCCAGCGAGTAAAGAGGGCTTACATAGGGCTCGCCGTTGACCTGCAAAGACCAGAAGGGCGCTTCATGCATGACCCGCAACATGTCTCGAACAATCTCCGTCTTCCTCAGGTCGGCCTGTTCGGCGCCGGGAGGGAAATAGGAGATGTCCTCAAACTTCTGGTTGATGACCATACGCAGACAGTGAAAAGAGACTTGAAGGTTCGCGCACTGAATGATGAACTGGGTCGACTGCGTTGTCTGCCTGCCCCCGCTGGCAATGGCCGCAAACGTGTACGACTGCAGGTACGGTGGCAAGTCGTCGAGGCAGGTGATGAAGCGGACAAAGTGAGAGTCGAGCCGTTGCCGATCATCTTCTGTCAACAAAATCTCGGAAGGCGTGTGGGAATATCTCGGCGATGGTTTCTGGTCTTGCAAAAATCGTATCTCGAGCACGACGTCCGAGGCCGCCTGCCAGAGTCGCAGGTTTGCGTTGAACCCGTCTATGAAGCTCTGCCGGGCACCTTGAGCTCGGACAGCAGGGTTTGATGGAACATGACCGATGGGAGAGGGGGCCGGGGCCCCGAGGCCACTTGGGTACTCAATGGTGATGCCTGACTCGAAAGAGAACTTGTGAAGGGTGATGGGACGGTTGTTGAGAACGGCGGCCGACTTGTCTCCCATGTATACGATCCAGAAGGCTCGGCGCCGCAGCTCGGCCTCGACCGGATGCAGCCCCTCGAGGGACGACTCGTCGTGGAGATGCATTACCTGCGCGAGACGTGTCGCTTCGCCAAAGATGTGCCACGAGTACTTTGGCTTTCCAGCCGCATGAACGCAGTTGGAGTGAAAGTAACGAATGGTGATAGAGTTTGCGTTGGGGCTCTCCAGATCTGCTTCTAGATAATGTGCCAAGCAGTCGCGCGAGGCTCGGAGGAAGATGTCGGCCACGCGCTCTCCTTCCGGGAATATGTCCTTGGGCAGGAGAAAGGCCGCCTCGGCGCAGACGGCTGTGATGAAGGTAAAAGTGGCGTCGGGCCACGTATTGAGGGACTCGCCGTTGGAGCCCGCGTATACCTCGTTCCGGGGGAACCGAGACCATGGCCGACTCACGCCGGCTGCCGCGACGGTGGTGGTCGAAGGTGCTGTGTCCAAGTCGGAGTGGGATGCTGAGTTCGGTGGGTGGTCGGTTGCGTATGCGGTGGCCTCGGTGAGGAAGAAGTCGAGGCCATCTCGGAGGCTGGGCTCGTGAACCAAGGGCGTCAGGGGGTAGAGATACTCGAAGAAGAGGTCGAGGCAGCGAGTCACGGTCCACTCCAGGGTCGTGTTGCGCAAAGCCAGCTGCACGGCGCGGGACAGGGCGCGCCACCGACTCAGCGCCGGGACGGCATGGCCCGAGGCGGACAGGCTGGGCGTCGGGGCGTCGCTGATGACCGGGGAAGAGAGCACGTGGTGGATGCTGCTCGGGTTGACGGCGGGACTGGCTGCCGCGCTGCTCCCGCTGGCGGCGGATGGCGGCAGAGGTGGTTGACGGGCGGAGGACAAGGCTGAAAGCAAAGCATCGGGCTTCTTCTTGGCCTTGGGCCCGCGTCTGGCCAGGGGCAAATCAAAGGTGCAGCGCACATCGTTGTCGCGGCAGTGGGTGCAACTCCCGGTGGAGCCGACATAGTCACACTAGATAATATCCCGAGACTGTCAGGCCGGAGAAACTTTGTCATGTTATACATTTCCCCCTTTCTATTCTTGTATTTTGTAATACCTTTGCTTTTCTGCGGCGGCAGCGATCGCAAGCCCGGCTCGCTGGTCGGCGCCGAGGCCGGTCCGTGATCGGGGACGGAGGACGGGGAGGAGAGCCAGGCATCATGGCACTCGCTGTCTTTTGTGCCAGAGCGGGCAAAAGTCCGCGGCCATCATGCTTGGGACAGTTCGGAGAAAACGTGTCAAAGGGGGGAAGAAAAGAGGATCGGGGATTTATGACGGTCAAATGCCACGACCAACGCCCAAGAGACAACGGAACAGAAAACAGGGCTCGCGCCTCGTAGGATGCGATATTACTTCGTACTCCGCATCGCCTTGATCCAATGGCCGGCCGGCACCGGCATGCAGCCGCCTCGTTTCTCTGCAGTCATACGGGGCTCTTTACCAGCTTCCCGCTTTGGGTGAGTTGCAGACTGGAGGCTGTTGGGAGAGGGGGATTATGAGTTCATGCCAATTTGCAGCAGCTGTCGGATCGGCCCGTGCTGGGTATGCTGGCATGGGAGTGTCATCTTCCCCCTCAAGGAGAACCAATGAAAATGGGGGGCGATGAGGCGCGTTGCCGGGTCCTGAGACCGGAGGTCTAATACTGTCGAACTGTACTCTGCAGTCATGCTGTACTGTATGTCTTCATGCATGGTATATTGTGAGAGACTTCTTCATGTAGGGTTGCTGTCACTCACACTCCGCTTCGTCTGTACATGTGCAGTATGTTGCCTCGATTCCTCTTCCCACTCATCTCAACTCACCGACCCAAACATGAAGCGATCGCTGTTGCAACGGCTCCTAGCCATTTCTTGCCTGGCAATCGCCTCTGCACCTCTCCCGGCCAGCCGGCGCCGTGGCCCGCCGCCCTGCCGGTTTGCCCTGGATTGGACGCAGGAGCAGATCCTGGTCGATCCACGTAGCTTCGCCTGGGATCTCTTGTTCTGGGAGGGCAAGTTCCATCAGGATGAGGTTGCGTACAACGCTGCAAATGGCATGACCTATGATGGCACGCAGCTGGACTGGACCACCGGAGATCACACCAAGAAGCACCCATTCAGCGCAGCAAGCAAGGAGGTTGGTCAACGGAGGTGGCTGGATCCATGCGCTCTTCTGGAACACCACGTGCTTACTTTAAGGCGATCGCCCAGGCTCTGCAGATGATGCTCTACGCCCGTGTCATTGCTGGCTCGCGAGAGGCGGCGCGGTTTCTCGCTCCCGATGACCCTCCACGTGCGGCCCAGCTTGCGGCCTCGATTATGGCGACGAAGCTTCAGACGTATCTTCGATTCAACCAATCCTATCCCGGGTTCGGTGGGTTTCTGCCGTGGGTGACGACCAGCAGCGCAGAGGTGCAACCTACTTGGGACTGGGTCAATCGCGTCCCGGCCTTGGACAACGGGTAGGCAAGCCACGCTCTACCCCAAGTCCGATGCTGCTTCGCATGACTGAGTTGTATTCGCCCTCGTTCATAGGGAACTGTTGTGGGCCGTATATGCTTGCATCTCTTCCCTGGAGAGAAGCCGCGAGCCAAGCTTTCGCGAGCTTGCGAGAGACTGGCAGAAGTGGTTCGACCATGCCAAGACCACCGCCGTCCGCGTCTTCTATTCCGGCTCCGGGCGGGTCTGCGCGGTGACCAAGATCAAGGACCAGCAGCTGCCTGTATCGGACCCCGGCCAGCGCTACGAGTGCGAGGGCAGTGACTACTACCTCGACGATCCATATGAGGGAGAGCTCTTCACCCACTTCCTGCACCTCTTCACTGACTTGTCTCGAGAGGATAAGGAGCACCTCTGGAAAGTGAAGCGAAAGAAGCTGGTGAGTGTAGAGTACAGTGCGGGTGGCGTTGGCCCCATAACCGTCGAGCAAGGTGAGCTATGGTTTTATCAGAAACCGGCCCCCAAATGAGACGGCCGGACACCTCTACCGCTGGGGCCGCTACTAATTCCTGTTCTAGGACACTGGTTCTCAAGCCACGAGCTGTGGAAAGTTCTGGAGCTGCCGTATTACGACGTAGATATTGTCCGGTACGTGTTCTCTGACGAGCGCTCCTGGTGATGAACAAGGAGATCGGAGATGCGAACAAGTTTTCTTGAACAAACCGAGAGTGGCTGACAAGTTATACTTTCACCAGGCGTCTCTATCATAATGCAGAGCGAGCGAGAACCTGCAACTCGGTCTTGACCCGGGTCCCCGGACTGTTTGCTTCGGTAAACAACTCGACTGATCCAGAGTCGGACACCATAATGGGGTACATTTCCCCGGCCGGCATCCCTTCCATTGCCAGCCAGAAGAGCCAATACCGCGAGGTCGTCACCCCGTACGGTGCCTGGCCGACCATCACGTTCGACAGGGCCGTCGGACTCGCGTGGTGGCACAACATGGTGGCGGCAAAGAAGATGCAGAGTATGTCTAGCCTTCAATCCGGGCAGCGCCCCTGGAACGTCCAATTTTTGGCTCAATGCTGACAATTGGCGCGGCAGACCCGTACGGAAGCACAGAGTCGACAAGGCTTGACGGAGAGCTGGTCTCGGCCCTAGTCACTTGGGACAGTAAAGTCACCACCGTCGTGGCCTTGCTGGGCGGGGTTGGCGATCTCGTCCGCGGCAAGTTGAAGGTGGACGGGGCCTATGAGGAGTTTATTTCCGTCACACAAGTAAGTTGAATCGTGAAGAAAGATGGGTGTTGGAGAACCTTGAATTTCTTCTCTACGCTTCTTGGACGCCGACCTTTCTTGCCGATGGCGACTAACGATGGGACTTATATAGAGAGAGTATTCACGAGTCTTCAAGCAGCTCAAGGGTGAAGACATTGCGCTTTGTCTACCGCGAGATGCGCTACCTGCCGGTAGCCTTGAAGATTTCACGCAATGCCGCGCTTAGAGGTTGATGTCATTTGGAGATTCCGATCGGAGTGCGCCCGCAGCGGGGAATGCTAGAGGGGAAATGCCCCTTTCTAATTGGTCGCTGCAAGGTGGCGATGCCGAGTCGGCTATGCCGTAGTTACTGAAGCGTGATCCAATGTCGGCTATATGATGGCAGCCATGAGCACATTGCCGATTTCCAAACATGACCAGAGCTCCCCATGTAGCCAAGTCTTACTCTCAAGTCTCAACTGCAGTCATGCAGCAGTGTCTCCTGTGAAGGTCGAAGTTGTATAAAACTTAAAAGAGCATTCAAGATACCATGGCTTGAGCAGCAGGGCCTGTCTGGTTTGGTGGCTTGTTCGTGACTTGAGAGCTCCACTGGGGGAGCGCCTTTCATCATGTCTCGCCTCATGTTGACTTCATCGCGGCCGTTGATACGGCGAGCATATGCCTTGACAATCACCCCATGCCGTCGTGCAGCCACAGGCCCGCGGGCGTTCTCGGCCACCCCCCAGCGAGGAGTCATGGAGATGACAAGCTTCACTAAGGATCAGATCATGGTGCGGGAAGCCGTCAGTCAGGTCTGCTCGCAGTTCCCAAACGCGTACTGGCGGGAACATGACGAGAAGGGACAGGACCCCGAAGAGTTCCACGCGGCTCTGGCAAGAGACGGCTGGCTGGGCATCGCGCTGCCCGAGGCTCTGGGGGGTGCCGGACTGGGCATTTCCGAGGCGACCATGATGATGCAGACCATAGCCGAGTCCGGGGCCGGCATGGCGGGCGCGCAGGCCATCCACGCCAACGTCTACGCAACCCAGCCGCTGGCCAAGTTTGGCTCGGCGGAGCAGTTGCAAGAAACCATTCCCAACGTCATCTCGGGCAAATGGCGGGTTTGTTTCGGGGTGACAGAGCCCGACGCGGGCCTGAATACGCTGAGCCTGTCGACAATGGCGGACCGCATCGACGGCGGCTACAGCGTGACGGGTCAGAAGATATGGATTACTTGCGCACAAGTGGCGTCCAAGATGATGCTCCTGGCCCGGACGACGCGGCGAGACATGGTCCGCAAGCCGAGCCAGGGGCTCTCGCTCTTCTGCATCGACCTAGATCGGAGCCGGCCGGGCCTGACGATGCGCAAGATCAAGAAGATGGGCGGCCGAGCCGTTGACGCCAACGAGGTCTTCTTCGACAACTACCGCATTCCCGAGACGGCGCGCATTGGCGCCGAGGGCAATGGCTTCAAGATTGTTCTCCACGGCATGAACGCCGAGAGGTGTCTACTGGCCGGCGAGGCGCTGGGACTCGGCTATGCGGCGCTGACCCGGGCCGCGACGTACGCGCGCGAAAGAGTCGTCTTCGAGCGGCCCATCGGCATGAACCAGGGCATCGCGCACCCGCTGGCGGACGCCTACATGCGGCTCGAGGCGGCCAAGCTGGCAACGTACCGTGCCGCGCGCCTCTACGATGCCAGCGGCGTCGCGGCGGCGGCCGATGGGCAGTCGGAACGGCAGGACGCCGCCGTAGGCATCGCCGCCAACAGCGCAAAGTACTTGGCTGCCGAGGCCGCCTTTGTCGCCTGCGAGCGCGCCCTCCTCACGCACGGGGGCATGGGATATGCGGCCGAATATGACGTCGAGCGCTGGTTCCGGGAGTGTCTGGTGCCGCGTATCGCGCCCGTCAGCCGAGAGATGATTCTCAACTATGTTGGTGAAAAGGTGCTGAAGCTTCCGAGGAGCTACTGATGGAGATTCAATGGAAGATATAAACCGACTTTATTTATGTATTATAACCCTTTGATGTTGTCGTTGGCTATGTGGCCACATGCATGAGTCTCTGAGTGACACAACAGGAGCCGGGCCGACCGGGTCATCTATGCTCGGTCGTGGAAGGCCTAAATGACCACAAAGCCGTACAATTTCAGCGGCGGATAAATAATGAAATAAAGACGTCGAAGGACGTTTCTACGATGGATTCCGCGGTGTCGGCTTCTCACTCTTTATAGCAGCAGCATGAGTTGGGCCCGTTCGAGGCTATGGCCGCTCTTTACGTGTCACTATTATAGAGCACAAGTATGAGCAGAGCGGGCAGCTCTAGTGAAAAAAACGACCGGTCGTTATTAGCTCTCGCCACCGGAGTAATTCAGTTCATCGTCGACATTTCGCTCCCTCAACCCACTGTCTCTCTGTCTTGCGGCACGACCACGGAGGAGTGGAATCCAAGAGTCTCTCATAATCCTTCAGACTGAGGCGGACCCCTCTCACTCCCTCGAGGCTCAAGCCAGGGCCGCTTGCTTGCCCCCCGAACCTCAATGGTCCGGCCATCAATACAGCCATGGCACCGCCAACGTCGACCAAGAAGACTCGGGCAAAGCATGCCTGCCGCGAGTGCAACAGTCGCCGCGTCAAATGCAATGTAACCGAGATGCAACCCTGCTCCAACTGCTCGGCGTCGGGCGTCCAATGCGAGATTCTCCCGTCCCGGCGAGGAAGGTCGGTTTGTATTCTCCTCGTGTCTGCTTTCAAGGGACATTCAACCGGGCTTCAATCGGGCTTCGATCGTGTGCTCACCTCTGGATGCGCTCAATCATAGGTATCCGCGTCGCTCTCGCCGGCTTCAGCCACTGGCCGCAACAGAGGCACACGCGTCGCCCAGTCCTCTTGTCGCCGGCGAGGCAGCTGTGCACGCGCTGCGCTCTTCGCTCGCGCCCGAGGATGGCGACCGTCGCGGCAGCACAGTTCCGGGTGGGCACTCGGGAGGCCGACCCTCGCCACAGCGCATCGCTCCGGCTCCGGCCCCGACCATGACCCCGACCCCGGCTCCGCCGCCACCGCCACCGGGGCTGCCCGACCAGGCAGAGACGCCGTCGTCCGCCTCCGCGACAGGCACGCTCTTCTTTGGCGAATCCAACTTTCTGACACTGGTGCCTGGAGACGATCCCGAAGCCGGAGCCGCCGGCGGGCCCGGAGCCGCCTCGTCGGGCCAGAAGCCGCGCCTCACGTTCCCCATCCCCGGCAGCCCCCGTTCGCAGTCGCAGGCACAGACCGAGGGCGCCGGCATCAGCGCCGGCACCATGCGCTACCTCCGCGACGAGGGCGCCCTCACCCTGCCGGACCTGCAGACGTGCCTCCCGGCGCTCCAGGCCTACTTTACCTGGTTTCACCCGTCCTTCCCCATCCTGGACCGTGCCGAGATCACGCGCCGGCTTGCCGCCATGGATATTTCGCGCTTCCTACTGCAGGCCATGCTCTTCATCGGCGCCACCTACTGCGACGATGAAACCGTCGTCGCCATGGGCTTCCAGGACCGCTCCGAGGCTAAGCGCTTGCTCTACACCCGGGCCAGGCTTCTCTTCCACGCCGACTGGGAAAAGGACGAGATGATCCTCATCCAGTCCATTTTCCTCATGAGCTTCTGGCGCGGCGGCCCTGCCGATGTGCGAGATGTCAGGTACTGGCTCGGCGTTGTCATTACCCTTGCCGAATCGTACGGCCTGCACAGATCGTGAGTCCCTTCCATTCTTCGACTTTTCCCGTGGTCATATGCCTTCTTTCTGCTCCCGGAACTACCCGTTCATGGCATACCTACTCCGTACATCCATCTAACTCGCCCTTGCAAGGCCGAAATCGTCCGCGTCCAAGAATATTCACATGACGCGCATGCGGCGCAGAATATGGTGGTCCATCTATGTACGCACGACGCTCAATCTCGCGAGCATACGCCTGCTTCGAGCCCAGCTAACACGTATCTTCAGGTAAGAGAGCGACAAGTGGCTGCGGCGATGGGATTGCCTAGCCGCATCAGAGACGAAGACTGCGATATTGAGCCTCTGAGCGCCAATGACCTTGAGTCGGAAGTCTACTGCTCCAACATTCTGTTGTTCGGGTCGTGTCAGCCTGAACACATAACCTATGCCATCAAGATGGTTGAGATTGCGAGGCTATGTGAGTTAACCCAGCATGTCAGCGCAGACCTGCCATCCTGTTCCTGGCTCTGGCTTCTCTCATACGTTGTTCTTTGACACATTCTTCATAGTGGGCCGTATCATCGATCTTCACTTTTCTCCTGGCCAGCCGGCATCAACCCCTGCGGATGTCCAAGGCCTTGACAAGTCCCTTGAGGCTTGGAAGAACAGCCTCCCCGACACCATGAAGTATGTGGCTGAAGAAGGTAGCGAGTCTGTGTGGACATGTCTTTTGCATATGGCCTACAAGTATGTTTATGCATCATTCTTGCTCCCATTCATGCTCGTTCGCAAGGCGGTCGGCTGGATGGAGACGAAGTCTTACGCTGACTCCGTACGACATCCTTGAACATAGCCACCTTCGTATTCTTATACACAGGAACAGCTTCCTCCGGCACGAGGAGGGTAACAAGTGCAATCAAGTAGTCACCAATGCCGCTTGCCGGATCAGCAGGATTGCTGAGGACATGTCGACTCATGGTACGCTACGCTACGGACAAATGCACTTGTGAGTAGACGCATGTCGATCGGTCTTGATGCACCCTTCCTCTCCTTTCGATGCTCTCCAATCCAATGCCAACGTCACTGTCTAGGATCACCAGTCTCTTTGCCGCGCTGTGCATCCATGCCATTAGCATCCGCCGGGGCTCTGGAGTTTCCAGGAGAATCGCCGAGCATCGGGCGCAGATGAGCCTGCTGTGTCTCAAGGAGATACAAAAATACTGGCGCATCAACAATAATGTCCTTGATCTCTTCCTCCAATACCTTGATCGCTCCATCGCAGATCGTCTGCATGCCGCCCAGGCCGAGGGCTCGGCCAACGAGCTGGGTGGCGGGACCAAGAGATCAGCCACGACGCCGGGCTCAGTCAACGCAAGCCCAGTCCTGCCGCATCGGGGCGATTCCCGGGCGTCTCCGGCACTGGAACAGACACGGACTCAAGATGAGCTATTTGAGGATCAGTACTTCAGCCTCGTCAACAGCCACTGGGAAGGGGATGATGCCTTGGGAGACTTGAGCTTGTTTCTTCAGGCCGAAGATTTCATTCCTCTCCACTCAAAGACCTGAGCCCTTGCGTGGTGCTTTGCTTTATTGAGGATGAAGCTTCTCTGGGAACATGCACATGGCGATATTCTCATTCATTATACATGCAGCTCGTGCCTCAATGAAGTCTCGACGCCAGCCCAGATGCGCGTGCTACATGCACGCAACCTCGCGATATCAACCTCTGTACATTGTTAAAGATGCATTATGTAACAAGCGCTTAGTTGAGTGGTCTCTTTCTTGTTGCTTGGGTACGCTTCATGTAACCTCTCCCCAAAGAGGTTCCAAAAGGTCATCACTAGTGTTTGCTCTTGCCATGGTCGTCATTGACATACCAAAAAGAGTTAAGTCGAGAAGATGGAAAGACGCTCACAAATAGATGTGGGCGGTACGATGAAGTGGTTCAATGTCATGAACAGGACAGGAAAGCCATGCCTGCTCTCTAATTATATGGAGTGTCTGATTGGCCCTTCTGAGAAATGAGCATCCCACACCGCCAAGACTGAGTATTCTCGCTACAGCGGTCGCTGCAAGCTATATGTAGCTCAAATGACATTAATGCTCACTTCTAGGCCACATGGTGCAGAAGGAGAAATAAGGCTGGCCAGTTCAGGAACTTCATGACTTGCACATAACTCATAATGGCTTTTTTGCCACTCTGAGGAGATCCGGCGGATAATATCATAATTTAATTGATTATTGGTGACTTTTCGAAGGAGTAGGGGCTTACTCTGCTGTCTGCCTATGTGCACGCATGGCTCAAGGGCAATGTTTCCACCGCCCGCCGAATTGGTCTAGACAATACAGGTCAATACGAGTGGAATCCCAGCTACATGCAGTAAGGTGAGCTTGGAGTTCTAGAAAAGTCTTGGAGTCCACTTGTGTGTTGCGCTGGTTCGATTTATTTCTCACAAAGCTCTTGGCTCGGCTCCGCTCGGACGGAGCACGGCATTCAGAGAGTAGACCCCTTCATGCTGTTTGATACATGGAATTCAATGGGGCAATATCGGAATGAAGTGGGTAAAAGCAATACCCCTGCCGAAAGGAGCTTCCCAAGAAGGAGACAATGGACTACCATGGACTGGAGTATCCGTACCTAAAGCATTGTAGGCCTCCTCTTAATGTCAAAGCTACACGTGGATGTGCTTCTTCACTATATATGATTGACCACTGACAATGACATTCCTTACCAGTACGCAGTACGCGACACCCGTGGGTCCAGCTCTTTGACGCTAAGGGGCTACAGAAGAAATCCTACTCCGCATCAGAACCCGTGAGTCCACCAAGCTGCCTGTCTGGTACAGTAGATACTCCCAGGCACTGCTCCACGCAGACATACATCCCAATTCGCTCAGCGATCAGCCTTTGCCTTGAACCTGATAGACTGAACAGAAATATTATCAAAACCTGTTCGAAAAGGAAAGTTGATGTGGCCAGCCGTTAAATCGTATATCCGCTTACCGTTGAAGTAACGCCCGGCACTTTCCGCACCGCCGCCTGGTATGAGCACACCTTTCATTAAGCGGATTTCTTCTTCAAGCCAGTCTGTTGACATTAGCATGACTAGGCTTACTGCGAATACAAAGGCCTTCCAAAAACAGTCAACCGGCTGTCAGGCCTCAGTGCGTGAGAGAAATCAAGCTTCTATGATGTAAAGCTTAATTATATCGGAGTCGGTTTAGAATATCATGGCACGAATCATCCCCTCCAACGCATTCGAATGCAGGCTCTCTCGAACGAACCGATGATTAGTTGGTATTTCTGACGACATGGCTTCCAGATTCTATTGGGCCGCAACAGAATACATTCAATGGCGCAACATGTGTGTGAAACGGATCGCATTGATGAATTAGTAACTCAGTATATATAGGCAACTTTGATCTAAAGAAAGCAACCCGAGTACATGTTATCTTCTCAATCAAGTCACGCGGAGAGGGTTCTTTTAACACCCGTACGTGAGACGATTGAAGCTTTCAACTGCGATGGGTAACAAGACCAGCTCCACTTCCCGGCGACAGCGTTTAAGACCTATAGAACTTGAATCCTATTCCGCAAAAGGAATCTGTCGGCTGTGGAACAGACATGCCCAGTAATACGGCTGCTTACCCCACGTGACAATGAAGAATGTCCGTTTCATGATGTGCTCCACGGGTGCTGACACCTGTGAGTCAACATGAAGTTTCTTTCCACTAGCCCAAAGTTATGAACGCCCATTCTCCGAACAGTCGAGAGGACCGAATATCCCGCGCTTGAAGAGCTCACCATTTTCACGAAACGAAGATGTCGCCGGCACCAGCAAGAATGCTCCGGCCCACGCTCTCTTTGGCGCGTGGCTACCAGACGGCGAGTCCAGCCGTGGCGCCTTTGCGGCTCTCTGCACTCACCGTGGGCCGTCACACTTTATCGTCCCCTTTCTCAACTCGACCGCCACGGCCCGAGAGCCAGAAGCAGACACCGCCCAGAGCACAGAATGGGTCTCCTGCGTCGCAGAATCCGTCATTCGAAACCAATTTTGCCGGCTTGGGGCTAAGCAGGAACATGAAGCTTTTCCTCATCGCCGTCCTTTGCTTCTTTGGCACACTAGAGTCCTGGTTCTGGGCCAAGTCCCTTTGGTTATGGTGGAAGGGCAGGAACGCCAAGCTTACTCTGGAAGATTGAAAGCACATTTAGGGAAGATCTCGCAGCCATGATTTATGGCTAGGTCGCTTGCCGTGAAGATGCAATGGAACAAGTGGGAACGAGGTGACGTTGTACGAAAAGGAAAATCTCCACATGTTGGGCTTGTTTGCTTGCTCCCCAAACAAGCAGAAGAGCGAACTCCTAGGTCAATAGAGGCGTTGGGGAGTGCGAATACACATTCGTAAGAGAGCCATGCATCCTGGTTGCACGGGTCTTGTACAGCATCGAAGTATTATAGAGGTCACTGGATTCAGTTCATCACTTCTCCAGTCATCAATGGTTACAGGGCAAAGCATTCTATGCTCCCGTGGTATGTACATTTACATATAATCACAGAAACCATCGGAATTCGTCGACGCTGGGGCCGTTGCGCAGCCGCTGTGTGGGAATGTCACGGACATCTACGTGGATGCCAGCTCTCTGGTCCCGTCTCTTGTTGTCGAAAATCATATAGGCGCCGAGGCAGGCAGTGATGAGAGCACCCGCGGCGCCGAAGCTGGCGGCTGTGATGAGGGCGGGCAAGTATTTGGGGGCATCGTCCTCGCGAAAGACATTGCTAGCCACGAGGCCCATGGCGTTGGCCAGAGGCACACCGACCGACGTGAGGGTGATGCGGCGGCCTTCGTGGGCAATGTTGTTATTATACCAGGCCGAGAGGATTACGGACGGAGCAGAGGTGCCCCAGCACATCATAAATGTCGCGCTGTAGGCGAGCTGGAGCCGGTTTTCGACATGGTCGATGGAGGCGTAGATGATGAAGCCGACAAAGGTGAAGACGTATCCCAGAATGATAAAGGGGAAGCGCATGCGGGTCAAGTCGGAGCAAAAGGCCAGTATAAGGAGCATGACAGCGCCGGTTGCGCTAGGAGCGACGGTATAGAGGTTCGTCAGGACGGTCGAGTAGCCGAGCCGCTCGATGATCTGCGGTAGGAAGAGAGCGACAGACTGCAGCGGAACGCCTAGGCACATTTCAATGGCGAGGAAGGCGAACGAGGTCGGGTAGGTGAAGATGGAGAGGGAGTCGCGGAGATTGAAGTCTTCGGAGACGATGGACGACGAGTCGACCTGGATGCGGTGGAAAGCGAGGGCGCGCTGGCGGTCGTCGAGGAAGCGGGCCTCGGCGGCGCTCCGGGGCAGGTACCAATAAGCAAAGGCGGCGAACAGGATGGTGGCGGAGCCCTCGATGAGGAAGAGGTAGCGCCAGGCCGGGCGTTCGGATCGAATGTGAAAGACGCCAAATGCGAGAAGGCCGCTGAAGCCGTTGGCCAGGTTGGAGGCGGCGTAAAAGACGGCGAGACGACGGGCGAGCTCGCCGCGGCGGTAAAAGGTGGTGAGGTAGTAGATGACCATGGGGAAGAAGGCGGCTTCGGCCATGCCGAGGAACCAGCGGACGGCGAAGAGGGCGCCGAAGCTCTGCGTCGCGGCCGTGGCGAGTGTCATGGAGCCGAAGGCGAACATCATGACGGGCAGCGACCGCGCCGGGCCCAGCTTCTTGCTCAGCATGGCAAAGGGCGGCGCGAAGAGGACAAAGGGGACGAAGAAGATGGAGACGACGAGGTTGTACTGGCCGTCTTTGAAGCCGAGGTCTGTTCAAGTCAGCACGGGTCTGTCTGTTGGCTGCGATCGAGGCCCTTGAAGCGTGTCGCGCCTACGGACCTTCGCCGAGCCCATTCGTCTGGGCATTGCTCAGGTTTCCCTTGTCGAGAGCATTGAACAAGTCTGCGATGAAGACATTAACGACAACTCAGCCACACTGGCTTTCGTCTTCCGCCTCAAGTCTCTTGAGGAGAAGAATGCTACGGTTTGCAGTCGCGACTTACACATGATGGCCAGTACAGGCAGGATGCGGACATCAAACTTAAGGCACAAGCTGCGTTCGGCCGCATGGTCAATAACACGCGCCGTCTCCGTCACGGCGCCGGGTTCGCGGCAGCTCTCAACTTGACCGAATTCCCCGTCATCTTGTGCTTTGGGAGGGGTGACGGCCATGGCGACGGAGGCCACGCAGTGGCAGCAGCAACCGCCCGTGGTGGGACGCGGCTGGGGGAGGTTTCGAAGCAGCAAAGACAGACAGTGTGAGAAAGGGGGCTGGAAAATAAAACAAGATGACATGGAAGAGGGCGCGGGGCGGAGCTGGTGGAAGCGGCCGCGCCTGAGCGTTTGGATGTTCTTGACTCGGATGCCAAGCCTCGGCGAGCGATATTCCGAGCGGCGGAGGAGGCTAGTGACGATGTGTATGACGGAAGAAGGAATGGGTAATAAATAAGTGCCCGCCTCTGTCTGCCGCTTTGTCCCTTCTTCCCATCCCACGGCTTGCCTCTTCTCCCCACCTGATGCCGCCCATCTACAGAAGCCCCCTTGACTTTGTGCCAAGAAACGGAGCCCGTCTGTATCTGGGAAACGCCACGTGGGCTCCACCGTTGCAACGCATCTCCTTGCCATTTGCTTGTTTGTGCTTCCCCAGCTGTCACTTCAGCTGTGCATGTTTGTATTCGTACCCGCAGATTGGCTAGTGCTGCATGCTGCAGAATTACAGTACATGGTCAGCCGAGATCTTTCCTCTGAGAGATAGACTGGCGAAGGCAGGGAACAACGTGCCTCTATTGACAGCCGCGTAGGTGACGCAGTTCGGGTTTACGCGTGGATCTGGGAGGAGTGATGATCCTCCAACTGGAGCGGGAACATGTAGACAAGGTGCGGGGTCCGGTTGCAGGCGCGATAGAAAGATATACTGTACCGAGTAGAGTAGAGGCTGTGGTGCTTCACTTGAAGCCTGCAGCTCACCCGCATCATCCATCTCCGCACCTCTCCGGGGGCCCTCTGCCACGCCAACTACTCCGTAGTGAAACCCCGGTCAAGGTGCCTGTCAGCCATGAATTGGAACGTGTCAGTGCAGTGATCGGACCGCTCCCGTATGTCGGCGCCGAACGTTCAAGGTCCACGTCGGGCACCTCGAAGCCCCGCGATATCGACCAGCAGAAGCCATCTATGCAAGGATTCCAGCCGAATCCTCCGGCCAAGTTCAAGGCCGACCACATCTTTAAACTGGAGGCCTCCAGTCACATGAAGCCATGGCTCTGTGAATGCCTATGCGACTTGCAGCAGTGAACCACCAATACCTGCTAGCCTCATCTCGACGTGAAAGCATCCGTAGGTAGTCCAGTATGATGCCGCCCTCTTGACTGGCCCTCGTCTTGACGGAATCTAATTAAAGGGCGCGGCCATGTTCCATCCATTTGGTCTTACTCTCCGTCCATTGACCCTGAAATGGTTCGTATGCGAGGAGGCGCGGGTACACGGCTGCGAACTGAAGCAGGACAAATCCGCCCAGCCAAGATCGATGATGCTAGACATATTAGCTTGCTTTCTCAACATTTCGAAGTTCGACTTACCTTTGGACATTGTAATGCTCGTCGACGAGAACATTGTTAGCCGAAAGGTCACCGTAAACAAGCACATGGGGCGCGACGTCAAGTTCGGGTTCCCAGTGCTTCTGTATGAGCTACATCTGCTGCTGGCACTCGGCCACTGTTCCCCCCGGGAACCTGGCCGGCCTTTGCGCGGACAGTTTTGCGATCAATCTTTTATCGGATCCCGTTGAGCGCCGTCCCTCATACAATTATGTTAGAGCACTTCATGAAACAAGAGGCGTTGGACGGACCAGGCTCGTGGTCACGGGCAAATTAAGACTCGCACTAGCAACACCACGAATCACCTGTCTGCGTTGCACTCAGAAGCTGGGCTAGAGTCGGACCAGTTCAAGAGGCTGCCGCCGGCCCAGCCGAGAGCCATGAAAGGTGTATGTAGCAGGTTGTCTGCCTTGGCATCGGAAAAACAAGCGGCTGAAAGAGGTCTATCCGGGCAGCGTCTATGCGGCGACGAATTTGTGCCTCACGGTCGACTAGAGGGCCGATGTGGGGATTTGTTGGGTTCTTAAGAACGCGAATACATATTCGGAGCTTTGAGCTGCTCTTCAGAGGATAGACGAGATACTCTCCGCCAGAGAGATATTCGATCCCTGTGCCAAGGGTAAAATGGCAAGGCGAGTCGATGATGATTGCTGCCAATGTGAGAATAGTGGTCAGGTCGGGTGTCAACGGCAGCGTCATGTTGTGAACCTCCATATCCATACAACTCGAAATTGGCACCAGACAGGCTGTGACACGAGGAAGACTTGACTCTAGATGCTACAGCCACATAATTAATTACGTTGGGGAAATGCTTCTCCGAAGAGTGCCGCAACTGTTGGACGGAGTCGGTCGCCAAGCGAAGGGAGGCCCGCGCCGCTCTTTCTGAAGACGTGGGTCACGCTCTAGCAACTACACTGGAACCACTTGCCGTTTCTTGAAATGGGGTCAAGGCTTTCAATCTTTCTCTTTCTAATGGAAGAGACAGAGTACAAAACGGTTGGAGGCATCTCCTGCTTGTTCGTTGCCACAGACGTCCATAGTAGCAATCACTTGGGGATACAGTACTAGACGGCCGGGGCATCTCAATCCAGTCAGGTCCTGTTGATTAGGGAGAAGCTTTTGCATCTGCCGAGGCCTTTTGGCTGGTTGATGGGGACAAGGCCTATCATGGACGGAATGCCTGCCGCTTTCTCAAGGCCCACCGGCTGCACCCTAGTTGTCCTGCAAAGGGCGTTAAGGCGGGGAATGGAGCCTGTCGGGCAAGCCCTTCTGAATTTGACGGCCAACTGTATGTACTTTGTAGAGGGGGGTGCAATATAATAATACCGGCAGTGCCCGGTTGCGTGTCAACCAGTGCCGGCTTGCCTGCGTCGATATCCGCATTGCCATTCAAAGCACGCCCATCGCCCAACTCGCTCCGGATTGTCTTCTTTCAGTCGGCCCTACAAGCTCGAGTCCGTTCCGCCTTTCCGAAGACTATAGTCGACATCATGGCTCCCAAAGGCTCAGCCGTCCACACGGACAAGGCCCCCAAGCCCCTCGCCGGCATCTACAGCCAGGCCATTGTGGCCAACGGCATGGTCTTTGTGTCCGGGGCCGTTCCCATGGACCCGCAGACGGGCAAGTTGATTGACGGCGACATCCAGGCCCATACCGTACGTTGCCGCCTCTAATCATCGCAAGCCCGCACGGCAGGCCGGAGGAGGCGGACACATCAGACTAACCGAGCGCGCTACAGCACCAATGCATCAAGAACCTGACAGCCATCCTCGAGGCGGCGGGCTCCAGCATCGACAAGGTCGTCAAAGTCAACGTCTTCCTGTCTAACATGGACGACTTTGTCAAGATGAACGAGGTCTACTCTACTTACTGGGGTGAAGTCAAGCCCTGCCGGACGTGAGTCTATCCCCAGTCGTCCCTCCCGTCCGGCCGTATCAGAGAATGCGTGGGCTGCATGAAGCGTCCGTAATCAAAGACGGAGCGGGCTGCATAACAATATGCTGATTGATTCGGTAGTTGCGTTGCCGTCAAAACGCTGCCGCTGGATACCGATGTCGAGATTGAGTGTACGGCTGTACTTTAGGGACAGACAAAGGCTCAACGACGCTTGAAGGCGGTGCCCCAAGCTCCACAAAGTACTGTTTCCAGCTTCGATAGAGTGACAAGGAAAGATTGTATTGTCCAGTGACCACTTCTTCCAACTCCAGTCTGGCCAGGCCGCGAGTTGCCCTACCTGCACATGAGCCTTTCAAGTGCGCAATATCATGCATGCACCAGACCGATTCGGCGACTGTGCTTACGTTCCATGCAACCCTCAGACGGGTGACGCAGTCTGCCACCTGCCGTGAACGAACATGGCGGCCTGACAGCCGAACAGACATAATACTGTATATACTTACTCCAGGCCTTTGCGGCACACTTGCCGATGTAATGCGGAAGACGGCGCCGCGGTCGGCCCAAGGTGGCTATGACCCCTCGCGAGGAGGAAGCCTGTGTGCCAGTTCAAGTTCGGATAGGGGAGCGAAGAGATGGAACATATACGGCTTCGAGTAATTCGTATTCAAATGTCAGATTTGCTCCGACGAGGGAGTATTGACAAAGTCCATCTTACTGTGTAAGCTGATGCATGTCCACGATCGAGTGAGAAAAGGGGGTGACAGTGCTCGCATGAAGGTCAAACCCACCCCCTCGTACTCACTCGTATTTCGCAGATACATGAAGAAACGTATGCTCGGATACGCCCATGCACATATACGGACCGCATTATGCCGCCTCAAGTGAAGCATCCTTGGGGGAAGACTGGAGTAAGACGGAATCGTTGCATGCTCAACCCTCCACCCCCAACCGCTCCCAAGGATGGATCGATGCACGCCCTGACTCAACGTGGGGGTCTTGATGCATTCGTCCATCACATTGCTGCCAGTCGGTGTCACATGGAGACGCAGCTGCGTCTTGGCCTCTCCATCCCTACCAGCCCTTGGCCCGGGGCCAGATGTCGACAATCTCGTCCTCCTTGCCGGCCCTGCCTTGGTCCACGACAAAGTACCACCCATAGTGGCTGCTGGTGATGCAGGCGTGGTTGGGCCACAGCCGGACCCTTTGGCCCACCTCGACCATGCCCTGCTCCGGCGTCGGGCCGGGCTTGTCGGTCTGACTGCGCGTCCACGTCAGGATCCCGTGCTCCTGGGAGAAGCGGCCGACGACCCAGCCCTGGAAGTCCTCGACGTCCCCGGCCGGCATGTCGACGCCCGGCCTGCCCCACGGGGTCAGCATCGCCATGCCCTTGTACGCCTTGCACGGCTCGCGGCCCAGGGCCAGCAGGCCGGCGCCGATCAGGACCTCGGCGGTCCCGTCTGCGCCTCGCTCAGGGTAGACGCTGTGCACCTCGGCGAGGACAGTCAACGCAATATCACCCCACGACAGCCGCGAGGAGGAGAGGCTATGCGCGGCCAGCTGCTGCAGGTCCAGCGTGGGATAGACGCCGGCATGGATTTCGACGGTGTGGCCCTCATCCTTGACGGCGTCGAAGAGGGCCGCGAGCGAGGCCGCCTCGGCCTGCAGCTCGGGAGTGACGTCCTGCCGGTCCTCTCCCTCGGCGGCGCTAACAATGCTCTGCACCGACAAGGCCGTCGGCGATGCCCCTGCAGACAGGGTCAGCCGAGACAACTCGGACACGCCCTTGTCCGCCGCTCTCGCTCGTAGACAGTCGGCGCCGTCCCGCATGGCGCTGATCTCTGCCTTCATCATCTTGAGGGCGGCCACCCGGCTGTCCCCCCCGTAGGAGTGGCCTGCGTGCGAGTACAAGCCAGCGAGGCACATGTCCCCCTGCTTGTGCGCCTCGAGGGCAGCGTCGGCGAGCTCGAGGAAGCGAGCGCTGTCTGCGACGACCCCCGCGCGCCGACCGCCCATGTCGATCTTGATGAGGGCATCGGGCACAAAGCCCGACTGCTGGCGGAGGCGCGACACGACGGGTAGCTGGGCGGGGTCATCTAGCAAGACGGAGACGCTGCCCGGACCGAGCGACTGGGCCACGGCGGCTAGGCGAGGCACTGCGTTTTGGCCAACGGGGAGGCCGTAGAGAACCTAGGAGTCCATGATAAGCACACGTATTAAACTCCTCGGAGGGGGGAGGCGTGTGAAGCGAGACCGTCGTACATTCACCCGTCTTCCCTGGCTTCGATACTCGGTTAGGGCGGGTAGTAGAAACTCGGCCTCGGCCAGGGTCGACACGATGAGGTTGGCGGGCCGGGCGGCATCGGCTCCAACCTGGAGCCGAGCCAGCTCGACCGTCTATGCTGCCGTCGACCACGGTTAGCCCCCTCGAATGGCGCCCGAACCCGAGTCGCGGAGCAATGGACCTTGTGCGTCTTGACGTGGGCTCTCCAGGACAGCTTCAGCCTATCGCACGCCTGCAGCATGCGCTCGCAATTGCGCCGCGCCGCGGCGACATCGATGATGACGGCCGGCGTCGGGATGTTGCGGATGGACTGGCCCACGTAGGTGGCCTTGAGCGCGGCCTTGGGCGACACCGGGTAGAAGGCGGCGGCGGGAGAAGACATGTCGGGAGGAGAAGGGGAGGATCGGCCGTTGTCGATTTTGTCTCTCAGGATAAGCAGATAGAGATGATTGTTCCTTTCCTTTTTGAACCCGTGGACTCTCCGGGATGCAACTCACTCGTCAGATACACGGGCAGTCTGTCGGGGATGGCTGCTTCTCGGCAGCGGGCTCACGAGGGTACAGTAGGCACTTGATATGAGCGGAGCGGAGCTGACATCGGCGAACCAACCATGAGTAACACAGCCTCATGACTCGCTTGGTGTACATGGTGCTCCAGACGGCGGGTAACGAGCGCTGGGTGCCATCTCATATTCCAAGCTCACCCCCCACAAAAAGCGTTAAACATCGGGGCATCCCATACACACACTCGTGCGGGGAGCGGCACTCTTTAGACTTCAATAGTTGGAGAGCGCCGAGATGAATGGACTAGCGTCTCGACCGTGGCTCTGTTTCGCAAGGAGGAGCCGCTGGACCGGACAGGCGCATCGAGGAGGCTCAACCTTGGGGAGAGTGAATCTCAGACATCGATGATGGACAAGCATAAGCCCTGCTCGCTGTGTCCACCGACCCCAGCCTTCAGAAGGTCCATTGCTGTAAGCATAACGGGCCGTAGCATCGTACAAGCACGCGGCCGGCCGTCATGAGCACCCACAATGCGACGCTCGGTTTGGCTGCGACGCAGAAGCTGGAGACGGCTCCGCCTCGAGTAAGTTCAAACCACCTGATAGGGGGGCACGGGGGGACGGGGGGACTGGGATGCCATTATGGGCGCTATTCCCTCGCCGATAGAGGACCCCCATTCACCGTCCTCCCCTTCCTTTCTCTTTTGCGCCATATCTCTCGCCTTGGACGGACGAGCGCCAGTAGAGATTGATAAAACCGCCCGCCATGTCGGAGCCTCCGTTTCCCCTCCACCCTTCCATCGTCAACCGCATCGACGCCGAGTACGCCGCCTTTTATAGCCAGCACATCGCCGATAAACAGCAGGTCCACCTTCAGCCCGTCGCCGCATCCCGTGCTAGCGGCGTCCTCATCCCCGGCGCCGGCCCGCTGGTCCCCGTCGCTAAGACCGCCGACTACGCCGTTCAGCGGACCGAGACTTCCGGTCCGGATGTCCGGGTCCGCTGCTTTACCCCGGACGGCCCGCAGCCCGCCTCTGGCTGGCCCGTGCTGCTCTACTACCACGGCGGCGGCTGGGTGCTCGGCAACATCGAGACGGAGAATGTCGTCGCCACCAATATATGTGCCCGGGCCAAGTGCGTCGTCATGACGGCCGATTATAGGTACGTCTTCCTTCTTTTTTTTTCCTTGCGCACATCTTGGAGACGGATCGAGAGGAGACTAACACGTCGTCCCATCCGTATATGAGGACGAAACGCATACGGCAGACTAGCACCCGAGAATCCCTTCCCCGCTGCTGTCGACGACGCCTGGGAGGTGGCGCTTTGGGCCCTCGGCCCAGCCAAGGATCTTCTCGGACTCGACACATATCGTATGGCCACAGGCGGCTCTTCGGCGGGTGGCAACCTGGCAGCAATCATGTGCCAGCGCGCGGCGGCTCGAGGCGGCTCGCCTGCCTTTCGCCTACAACTTCTCTCAGTGCCCGTCATGGACAACACGGCCGACACGTCCAACAACCCATCGTGGGCCGAGAACCAACACGCCCCGGCCCTGCCAGCAGCCAAGATGCTCTGGTACCGCCACCACTACCTGCCCAACCGCAGCGACTGGCCCCGCCCTGAAGCGAGCCCCCTGTTCTGGCAAGGCGACTGGTCCGGCCTACCGCCCGCCGTTATCGTCCTCGGCGAATGCGACGTGCTGCGGCACGAGGGGGAGCAGTTTGGGGAAAAGCTGGCCAAGGCGGGCGTCCAGACCCAGGTTCACGTCCTCGAGGGCCAGCCGCATCCGTTCCTCGCCATGGATGGCGCCCTCGAGGACGGCAGGCGTGCCATTACCTGGTTCTGCGAGGCCATGTTGACTGCAATGTACGGACCGCAATAGTCTGGGTGGACCGGTGCGCCTATTCCCCTTAAGAAAGGGATGGGGTGTGCCGTCAACATGGCTCATGAAGGTTCAGATCTGCCCCCCCCCCCCAAGGACATAAGACTTGAGGAAGAGAGCCGAGGACTTGTACATGACATCCAAAAATGCATAGGATATGCAGGAATATCAGGCCCGACCCCGGGTGAGGGGCCAAATCATACATTCTCAGAGATCTGACAATGCCTGCTTGGCTTTTGATATGTGCGATAGATCCCCTGCGACAGACACAATCAGCCATGTCGCAGCATTCCAAGGCAGAGGCCGCTGCCGCCCAGTCACACGGAGAAGCACGCCTTCCGCCCTCACGGCGTCTCCGGCCGCTCGCATATGTCCGGTGACTGATGCATCTTGGCCGCCGATTCCGTCTCCAACCGCATCTCCAGCTCCTCCAGGCGGCTGTGAACCGGTTTGCCGCGCTTCCACGCCGGCACGCCCGAGTCGAACACGTCGTCCATCTCCTCCAGCGTGTAGCCCTTTGTCTCGTGCGCCGCGAGGAACATGTGGAAGAAGGCGGCGGCGTTGACTGACATGAGTTACTCGTCAGCTGTCAGGTCGCGAGGAAGCTCAAAGGGAGGCTAGACAGACAGGATCCGAACAGGTAGTAAGTTCTATAGCTGTGCACACACGGAGCGTCAGCCAATGGTGTCATGCTCGAGATTGGAAAGAATGAGGGAGAGCCGCCTCCTTACTTGGCATGCCACACTCGAACAGCATCACGACGTTAATACCTCTATACTTTTTCGATTCAAGTCTGCAATGCACCGCGCTGGGGGCCGCGGGGAGGGGAGCACGTACGAAGCGGAGGGACGACAAAGGCCAGCACCATGTTGAAGAGCCAATTGGTCGCGGTGCTGATGGACACAGCCTTGGCTCGGATCCTCGACGGGAAGATCTCGGCAGGGTACGTCCACGACGTTGGGCCCCAGGTGGTGGCAAAGGTAGCGACGAAGAGATACGAGCAGGCGACGATGGCACACGAGGCCTGGCGGTTGTGCGCAACGATCCACGTCGTGTCCTTGTTCTGACCAGTCCTCGTTTCTGGCGTATTTGGTCGACCATAGTATTGTTGCACGGCCCCTGGTGGCCGGGAGGGATCTCGTCAGCTCAACGAGGAGAAAGGATAAGGGGGGTCTCTTACCGGAAATAAAGAGCCAAGTCATCATGAGAAACGACCCGACCACGAGCGCCGGGCGTCGGCCCCATTTGTCGAGAAAGAGAATCGCAGGCAGCGTCAGAACGACGTTGATGATATACTGGATCGAGGCAGTCAGGAGCGGCGATGCGATGCCAGCGCCCTCCATGACATAGACAATGTAATCTGCCGCCATAAGAAGCGACCGCCCCCAGGTGTTAGCAGAAGAGCAGAGATCCTTCGGGGACACGTACACATCATGATGTTCATGCCGCACAGCTGACTCCAAGCCTGGATGCTCATGCCCAGGACCACGCGCTTGAGCATGCGCCTCCGCAGCAGCGCTGCGAAGCTGCTCTCGGCCTGCTCGCGCTCGAGGCGCAGCGCGTCCTCGATCTCACGATACTGCGCCAGCACGCGCCGGTCGCGGGCGTCACCGTCGCCATGTAGGTCCGCCAGCACTGCCAGTGCCTCGGCCCAGCGGTCCTGCGACGCCAGCCACCGCGGGCTGTGCGGGCAGAAGAAGAGGCCGACGAGCAGCACGCACCCGGGCACCGTCTGCACCCCCCACGGGATCCGGAACGCCACCGTTGGCTGCTTCGGATCACCGGGTCCTCCGCCAATGCTCTCGGCCACGCCGTACTGGATAAAGTATTGGATGAGGATACCCCAGGTGATGGCCCATTGCTGCAGGCTGCGTCATGAAAGCTTTGTCAGGACTTAGCCGCCTGCCCCTTATCTGGTCAACGTACCTGACGACCCTGCCGCGTATCTCCTTGGGAGCAATCTCGGACTGCTCTTAGTGATCAGCGGCATCGCGTCTCATCATTCGCGAGACAAAAAGGAGGAGAGGAGATCAAGGGACAACTTGACTGCAAGGTTCTTCACGCACCTGATAGATGGGCACAACTGAGCTCGCAATGCCAACGCACAAGCCGGCCGTCGTCCGTCCCGCACACAGCATGGCAATGTTCTGCGAGGCACACTGAATCAGGCTGCCCACGATCCAAAAAACGCAGCCAATCTGCAGCGAAACCTTGCGCGACAACCTGTCGGCAAGAAACGACGACATCAACGACCCGACCAACGACCCAGCCGGCATCGACGCCGTGATGGCCCCCTGGACATACGAGACCGGGTTCCCAAAATATTGCTTGTATGCCTGCGTGCCGATGACGCCCGACATGGACGAAATGTCGAAGCCGAACAGCCCGCCGCCTGCGTGGATGAGAGCACCTGCCCGTTAGCCGCGCTTGCTGCGGTCGTTTGGGTAGAGGAGCACGAGGAAACTTGCCTATGGCGGCGAAGGAGCAAATGACATAGACGTTGGTGGCTCGACGCATCGCGGCGTTGATTCTGAGTGAAGAGCGCCCCAGCAGAGGGCGAATGGGCCCCTCCCTTCCCCTCCTCCCCGGCCAGCAGGATGCGAGCGCTGGCACTCTTGAATGCTTCGCGGCACCCACAGAGTTCAGGGCCGGCGTGAGCAAGACGTGAAGCTAGCGGGCTCTGACTTCCATCCGACATGAAGCGGCCGGCCAGTGGACTCGTTCCGCCTAACTCAAATTCACCCCTCGGCCCAATCGCCATCGCTTGGCACGCCGAGCAAGATTCGTCGTCGTCATGAAACTGTTGCAATCGATCATGGTGCGGGCGCCGCGGCCCATCATCCTTTCCTCTCCACATCCCCGCATCACGCGGATCCTGCAGTGAGAAAAGGGGGTGGCGCTTGCCACCGAGAACCCAAGTCAAAATGCGGCCAAGGCCGAATTTGCTTGCTGGTAGGCTCATTTCAGTCGACGAACAAGAGACGCTGTCACAGTCGTCCTTGTCCGTGCATCAGTTAGTTTCCTATCTCCAGAAAGAAGTTAGTCAACTCGTTGGCCAGTATGCAGGTGTCCACAACGAGAGATCCATGTCACTGCAATGTTAGCAGTCGCCTCGAGGCGCCAAAGGACAAACAATCCATTTTCTTATGGGCCGCTCGGCCACGTTGTCGGATGAGTTCCCAGGAGCCAGGACCCAGGACAGGTAGCCGTGCCATGGCAGCAAAGAGTGCTAGTCGTGATGATTCGTTACGATACAATAACGACTCCAGTCGCCCGAGCCGTCATCTAAGTCCCCTCAACACAAAATGTCTTCCGTCCCTATGGAAATGCCGGGGTGATGACCCTGAACGCCGTGGTATCTCTGGGGTTGAGCAAAGGAGGCAAAGGATGCTTCTAATCCTGGTCCGAGCAAGGTCCGATGGTCTCTTGATGGACGTGTTTTAGGTACTTTCGCTGCAGGCGAAAGGACGAGTAGTTGCCCTTCAAAATGACGTCGAGAATGCCACCTCGGTCAGGGTGTCGCTTGATATATTTCATGCGATCACGCAAGTCGTGAAAGGCGTCGTAGAACCGGTCCAAAATAGCCTCCGTGTTGGACGAACCACCCGCAATATCATTGCCGGGATTGTTGGGGTCAATGATAGAGAGGCGGTTGGTGTTCCTGTAAGTAAAGGTCGAGACCGCCGACTAGACAAGGTGGCTGATGAGCCGCACATTCGGCAGGACGAAGACAAACAAAGCCTTGCCTTGGCGACTAGGGCGGGGGAGCTGACTGACCTTTCGCACATAACCCACGGTTCCCTTGAGAGAGATGGCATTGGTCTTGTGGCGGAAATGACAGCCATACAGTTCGAAAAAGTCGAGCAGCAAAAGGCCGAGGTGCTCTTCGTCGGTGACTCCACGGCCCTGAAGCTGCGGCATGGTCTGCAGCATGCTGACGACGAGACAGATGACGGAGAACCCACCAATGCCGCCGTTGACGGGCTCGTTGAGACCTCGCATGAGGAGAAAGTGCTTGACAATAGTGACAAGAATGGGCATGGTCGGATACTCGAGCTTCCACTGCAGGAAGGTGTCAACGGCCTTGACGCCTCCCATGTTCTCGAAAGACACGTCGACTTTGAGGCCGGTGAGCTTGTCCACAAATTTGACCAAAGGAATGCGCGCATGAGCAATGACGGTGACCGAGGCAACATCGGCGACTCCCTGGGACACAAGGAGCTTCTGGAACTTGTACAGCCAGCTCTTTGCGGCGAGATAGGTCGGCGGGCCGCCTTTGATGAAGCTTGCCGAGCAAACGACAAGGTCCATGTCTGCGGTTGGGAGATAGAGGCCGGACATGAATGATCCGAAAGGATACACATGAGCAGAGGCAAAGTTGCGCCCGTCGCGTTGCATGGCCCTTTTGAGGTGCTCTACAAGGTTGGTTCTGATGCGTTGCTCAAACTCCCTGGGACGAACAAACTCGTAGAAGCCCAGGATCTCTTTGTGCAGTCTTTTCAAAAGGTTAGTTGGGGGGGAGAATCACAGCACGCAGCTACATACCGGACAGTCATGGTGTCCGCGGCAGAGGAGCCGACGGCTCTCCAAGGGCAAGCCTCTTCGCCGTCCTTGGGCTGCCATTCCGGAACAAGGGCACCCTTGCTAGGCCTCAAGCTGCCCTTTTTGAGCTGGCCGTAGTCGGGGGGTTTGATTTCGTCGTCAAATGTACGCTTGCGTGAACCGAGAGGGCCGGAAGCATCCCGCGTCGATTTGGTGTCAGTTACAGCGCTCGACGTGTTCTTGCCGGCATCTGGGTGATCGGTTCGCGGGAGAGGGGGGGGGCGCGGAGGCAGGCTGATTGGAGGGGGAGGCCGGTTGTCTTCTTCGTCGCTGGAGTCAAAGGAGATGAAGTTTTCAGCCTCGGGAGGCGCGTCGGTGTTTGGCTGGACGTCCTCGACGCGCGCTTTGCGGATGAGCTTGACCATGTCCTTTTTCTTGCGCGTGCCCTCGTCAGGGCACGGCAGTGCGGTGTAGGGGTCAGGATTGGACCACTTGGGCACGGTGTCGGCAGCGTCGTCGACCTTGGCTTGGGTGCGTGCGCGTTTCGGGGCTGGGTTCTCTATCCCCGACTGAGACGACTGCGACGACATTTCCATGGCGATCTCTTCGTCGTCGGACATTTCGTCGACGTTTCGGAACTTTGCGCTGGCCATAGTGTCGAAGATGCGTTGCCCGGGAAGGCGAAACGTGTCGCCCGAGATGAGAGCACGCTCCGAGGGATGGGGGGGGGGCTGCCAGCGCGGGCGTCCGGGCTTTCGCGGGGGTCCTCCACGACGTTCGCCACGGCGGCCCGAGGGCGGGTGGGTGGCAGGCGGGAAGGTGAAGGGGGCTACATGGAGAGGCTGATCCACACGAAAGGTGAAGTCGCTCTGGGGGAGCTGGGGACGATAGACGTCGGCAGGAGGGGCACGGTAGGCGTCGCCGGGGCGGCCATAGCCGGAGCCGCGATGAGAGTCGTAGCCTGAGCCGCGATGAGAATCCTGGCCTGAGCCGCGATGAGAATCGTAGCCTTGACGACGATCGTCTCGGTCGCGACGGTCGCTGGATGGGCGCCAGCTGTCGTAAGAGCCTGGGGGCGAGGGGCCTCTGCGCGGAGAGGGAGGACGGTAGCAGTCAGTGCCGCGGTCTCTGCCGTCGGCGCGCCACGAGTCGCTGCGCGACATGTTGTATGAGGTCGCTTGGGGCAACGTTTGTGGAGGTTGCAAGAACGTGCAATGAATCTCGTGGCGCGCGCGAAAAGAAATAAATGGCCGCTTGCGGCAGTGAAAAAGAGTGGCAGCTGCCTCGGCCAATCGCCGGCCCGGCAAACGGCGGGGTGTCTTTGTCAGCCACGATTACCCTTTGCCACCCTTGAGCAGGCGGCACACTGAGCGTGGCCCCGTACTGTAGAGGCGCTAGTAGAGCATGACGTCGGCTACCACTGCTGGCAGCGCCCTGCCTCCAAGTACGAAGTACCTCCAGGGATTAGCCGCAGGTACCTGGTTAAGCACAACCCACAAGGATTACTGTACAAAGACCCTTGTAGAGACGTGCCTCATTATGACATAGAGATAAGGTAGGTAGAGATACCCAACTTTGCATAATTCAAGTACATATACTTCTTCCCTATCAGGCCAGTATTTAACTGCAAGTTCCACTTTCCCTAAGCACTTTCCGTTAAGCAGCACGGGCAGCTCGTCAAGCCAATTAGCTTTATAATCGAAGTTTAGTCGGTCCATTCGGAGTAGGTAGTCCGGGATAAAATACCCTAACAGAAATTGTATCTGGCAGCTACTTCATTTTTACGGCCAATCACCGTCTCATATCTGGGACTGCACTTAGAAGGGTCTTTGTAATCTTAGTGGGGCTTCACCCTAGTGTTATAAATCCTAGTACGTATGGCCTAGGCAAAATGTTTCTCGGGTAAGGTATCACGCTTCTCGGAGGTTCTTAACTAATGATCTCGGCATATAGGTGTTCACTGGCATAGACCCCTTGTCGCATTTCAAGCCAGCCCGGAATGATTATTCGTGACGTGGCGATATCACAACGCAACACCTGCTACGTAAACAGGCAGCAAGCCTCTCTCATTTGTGTATAGAGAGAGGCACAATTCCGGGCGTTTGTTCACTCACGGTAATTCTCGATCCACTGCCTAAAGCCATCTCTGGCCTATGTGAAGCCACTTATCTGACACTTAACCTGCCTGTTGTGGGACGCGGCTATCTTCGCATCCCGTCAATCAACTCCCATGCAGTTTGGCGCGGTAGTGAAAGTGTGACTCTCTTGTGTCGAGCTGGCAGCAGACATCCGCCTTGCGTACCTGTCGCCGCGCATCGTGCCCAACCACACAACCGTACCAGCATGCACATGCTCCATAGCCTTGGCGAGGATGGGACTAAGTAAGGCAATTTGCTCGAGCACAGCTGCCAGCCTTTTCTCATATTCGTGGAAGATCCGCACCACTTGGTCCATGGCATGCGGCAGGCTCAGCGGGACCTGTGACTGGCGCTGGAGGATCTTGACGATGTTGGTGTACTCGCAGATTTCCGAGTGCTCTCCGTTGATTTTGTAGAGATCAGCCAACAGTCCCATGCAGGTACCGGAATAGATTAAGGCGCGCCGGAAGACTTGCGGCCTGGACGTGCTAATCTGTACTAGGCTTTCCGCGAGTGCTGGCACGGCGAACGCGATAATACAGTATTCCACTCCCATGTAGACGTTCGTCGCCCTGGACTCCAAGTACTCCTCGACTGATACCTTGCGTTGCTCAGCTTCTATCGCCCGGAGAACTAGAGTAGACTCTAGGTAACGGTTGGCCTCTGCGCGCAGGATATGCAAGGCCTCACGATTCCAACACGGGTTGGTATAGAGCCTTAGCATCGAGTCGAACCTTGCGTCCCCGATAGGCGACCCCGCCACTATAGCCCGGTATTTACTGACCAGGTCGGACACGATCGCCGTATCTGTGGTGTTATCTATGAGGTCGTCGATAAAAACTCCAGCTGAGAACATGTCTGCAACTATCTTAAGTCGCTCTAGATCCCCATCGGGGTAGATGTGAGCCACGTAGGAACCCCCACAGGCTGCGAAGGCGCCGCGTCGGGAGACCTCTTGGGTCGCCGCCAGTTTGTACAGCCAGCGTGCACAACTCTTCTCGGAGTATTCGAAGAGTTGGACGTACGCGAAATGTCTCCGGCTTGAAAACTGGGTGGGCAGCACTGGTGCGGTGTACTCGATATCGGCCAGCTCGTCGTTGGCTGCCATGGTTTCGCTGTCGTTGCTCCCCGACTCTTGAAAGACGAATCCGGGCCGTTTAGCAATATAAATGCGAGCGTTCCGGGCAACAAGAGCAGAGAATTGCATGGTAATGGTTATATTCGACCTGAGCTTCCTTTTATAAGTCTACCAAGACAAGCAAAACATTACGTGTGCGTCGAAACAGATTCGCCGATTCCGCACCGCCGCGACGGGGTTCTTGAAGAGGATCAGCTCCAGTCGGTCCAATTTCCCGAGACTCCCGACACCGGGTTTACTTCCAGGCCGAGGTGTACTGGCTTATGCTGGCTTGTCCTCGGCCAGAATCTGGAGGAGAGCAAAGCATGCATCCGCGCCCAGTTCGACTCCATCTGGGAGTCTGGTAGGCTAGCAACTGGGCCTCAATTGGACTTCGTTAACGTAAACACTAAAGGCATGCTTCGACAGGGGGTGCACACCGGAACCGGAGCCATGCTGACAGACATAAAAGCTTAATTCGTAGCATACAAGGGTCCGTATCTCCAACACAGCGCGGAGGTTTTGCCGGCTATTACTAGCTCTTTGCAACGAGAGGATCTGGAGATTCATGTTCGTCATGTGCGGACTCAAGGCGAGTCGAGTCAGGCTGGCGGGCGCACCGAGGACTTCAGCAAATCGACGAGCACATATGTAGAGCGATTCCTAGGTGACGATGATTTCTGTCTCCGTCTTACTTGCCCCTGCTCTTCGTCCTCTTCCTCTTGCGGACGAGCGGAATCATGCAGCGCTCCCAAAGGTGTGACTGCATTTTGTCCTAGACTATGTACCATTAGTGTAGTTTGTGGTTTTTGGACTAAACCGATAGTGTGGTCCGACCGCAATGGACTTGAGTGACCTCAATGACTGGTCAGCGTATCCGATTTGGCGGTGCTTCCACGCTTGGCTTTACTGGAGATGCTGAATAGGACCGCTTGCTTATTAGTGGCAGAGTGGAGTTGTGTTGCTGGACATTCGCTTTGCGCTAGCGGCGCTGCGTCGCCCTTGTGCAAAAGACTGGACGTGCTCGCACTTGAGCACTTGACGAGAATATGGGGCGTACTGGCTGGCCGGTTATGCGCCGCTCTAGTGACTTGCGGTCTCTTTCGGATACCCTCTCGTGCTGGTAGTATCGTGTAACGTTAAAGACGTCTTCTAGTCGCAGCTTAGAGAGCGCGCCTTCTTCGTCCCGATCCGTACCCGCCGGTTGGACCCTCGGCGGGGCGCCTTATTCGGGGGCCAACTTAGCTTCGTGTCTCCACTAATAAGCCGGGCCCAAAAGGCGTGGGAATGGGTTGATTGGCACCAGGTGCGGACGCCCTTTAGTAAGCGCTGACGGAGTCTCCGTACAGGCAAAAGTGATCATGTGCCCGTCGGCTGGGCTCCGTGGATATAACCTTCAGGTCCATCGACTCCACTGAATCCACCGGCGGCGCCAGTGGAGTGGATTGGAGCAATGCTGTCCTTGTTCTGAAACCCGACAGGCCCGGACGAATCGTGACGCGGTTTAAAAAGGAGGCTCTTGGGGTTCGATATCCCAACTTCAAAAACAGGAAACAATCTTGCTACCGCATCACAAGTTGAGAATATACTATTCTCCCATCTTGGGCACACAAATCATGATCAATTGTCTTCGGCTTGCCCTTGAGTGGCTCCGTCTTGCTTGGAGCCATTCAACTACCTTTGTGCTCCTCTGGCTTCTCTATGCGGCTCTTCTCGCTTTATACCGGCTTACTCTGCACCCCCTTGCCAAGTTTCCGGGCCCGATGATGACGAAAACGTCCTACTTTTATGAGTTTTGGTTTGATGTCATACTCCGTGGACGCTATACCCGCGAGATTGCCAGACTCCACGAAATATATGGTAACGTGTTGGATAAAATCATGTAATGCATGTGGGGCTGATGGTTTAAAGGTCCAATCGTGCGAATAAATCCGGATGAACTACACTGCAACGACCCCAAGTTTGTGGACATTATTTATGCTTTTGGGCACAAGAGGCGAGATAAGGCATCCCATTTCTTGGCTGGATTTCCAGCAAGGTATGTAATTTGTCCAAGGTCGCCTGTCCCCAACTCGACATCCAAGAAGTTCGGCCTTCTGCTGGGGTTTTTTTTTTACTCTTGATATCGCGAGGCATGACCGCTAAAATCTCATTCTCTGGAGTTTGGAATTGGTTGGTTCTCCATGTCTTCTGTTCAGGAATCGGCTAGATTGACTCAAACCACCTTCAGTCAACTTTTGCTACGGCGAGCCATACGCAGCATCAAGTTCGTCGAGCGGCAATCAGTAAATGTTTTTCTCGAACACAGATCTTGAAGCTTGAGGACTCAATACATGAAAAGTCCCAGCGACTATGCGACGAACTCTTGAAGTGTCGGGGTCAGGGCCCATTCGAGGCCATAGCACCGTACTACTGCTTTTCAGCAGACATTATTACAGAGTACTCCTTCGGCAGCAACGACGGCTTTATGGAACAACGTGGTCAGGAATTGAATCTCAAAACAGCCTTTCACACCGCGAGAGGCTTGGTGCACATAACTAGACACTGTCCGTGTCTAGCCAACCTCATGCATTCCATCCCACTGTATGGCCCCCGAATTTTAAGTTACTAATATGATACTGAACTATAAAAGCTTTTTGATGCGAATGTTCTCGACGGAATTGAGTCTTCTTATGGAACTTTTCAAGGTTGGGCAGCACGAATCGAGCGTAATAAGGCGAAACTAGACAGCAATACTGACATGCTTAGGTTACAATCCCGGAACAAATCAGGAGAGCAATCCGGGGTGATACTGAGCCGGCGCAGAAAGACCGACAGTCAGTCATTCTGGGACTCCTGGAGTCTAACCTAGGTCCTGCAGAGAAAACCGTCAAGAGGCTTTCAAGCGAGGCCAATACTCTGGTGGCTGCTGGTACAGAAACTACGGCATCGGCGCTTAACGTTTTGACATACCATCTTCTCTCGAACCCCAGCGTCCATGAAAGGCTCCGCGCCGAACTATCTACGGTCGCAACAAACGCAACTAATCTGCCAAGCTGGTCGAAATTGGAGAATATGCCTTATTTTGGTGCCGTGATTCGCGAAGGCTTACGCCTAATGTATGGCATTCCGAGTCGGCTTGCTCTTATTGCACCCGACGAGCATCTTATATACCGAGGAATATGGAAATCGACCGAATTCGAATACGTCATCCCTCCAGGGTACGCTGTCGGAATGTCATCTTACCTTCTTCATACCGACGAGCGAATCTTTCCGGATGCATCTCAATTTTGCCCTCAACGATGGCTTGATGAAAATGGCGAGAGAAATAGGGACCTGGAAAAATATTTACTCTCATTCTCCAAAGGGAGTCGACAGTGCCTTGGGATACAGTAAGTTTCGAGGAGTTGATGGTGCTCGTGCAGAATAATCACTGACCTTCCTGCACAGCCTGGCATATTGCGAACTCCATATTACTATAGCAGCTCTAGTTCTGCGTGTCATGCCTCATATGAGGCTATACGAAACGTCCCGAGAAGAAGTTGAGTATGATCATGATGAAGGCCTGGCTGTGTCGAAGAAAGGCAGCAAAGGAGTGAGAATAGTTATCGACTAAAGATGGTTGGTTATTCGAACATGCACTTAATTACTAGCTAAATTGAAAGAATCAACGCATACAGGAGCTCTCGGGAAGAAAGTTCGAATGGGACCAGTTGTCAATCCACAAGTCGGTACTTCCAATAATAGGGGCTCCGCATAGAGCATAGCTTATGCTATGACACCGAAAGTCGGAAATCGATCATATAGATCCATTTCGAAGCCTAATAACGCTTATAATACGAATATAATACTTATATTTATATTATAAATATAGTATGACTTCTATATATATATTATAACTATAGTATTACTTCTATATATACTATTTCTTAAGTAAAGGCTTAAGAGCATAGTAAAAGAAATAGGGGTATAGAAAGGTAAATTTTATAATATATATCTTAGTCTATTTATTAGGATAAAGGAGGGGCTTATATAGGAATAGTAACTATATATAGCTAGCTAAAAGAGGGTATTAGGATATTCCTATACCTAAGTTAGGCCTATATAATATCCTTAGGCTAAGGGAGTTATATTAGTTAGGTAGGCTTCCTTATATATAACTATTAGGTCTACTAAGTATAACTATAGTATCTTATGCCTACTCTCCTTAATATGCCCCCTTACTATCCTCGCTTTAAGATAGTAGGGTAATAGGTAGAGGAGCGTTTAGTTTAATAAATATAAGGCTATTATAATATTAAATTCGGATAATTTATTATTTATTTAAGGGGGTTATCTAAAAATAAGGGAGGCTCCTAATTATATTATATAAGAAGGGAAGGTAAATATAGTAAAAGGGAAGTTAGTTTAGCGGCTAGTACTCCGTACTATATATATATATTATACTATCTGCCCCCTCTTTCCTAAGGAGGGTTTAAATATTAGTTAATTAAGGTTATATAACCTACTCTTACCGCTTAACTTAGTAGTTAAAGGCTATTATTATTAACCCCTCTTATAAGGGATATAGGTATTATAGGGCTAGGTAAAAAAAGGAATAGTATATAAAAGATAAAAGCTAGAACCTAAGGGGATAGGATATATAGAGAACCCCCTTTTATATATCCTATCTCTTTAAGCCCCTAAGTTCGTTAACCGCGTACTCTTAAAGCGTAGTTATATAACCTACTGTCACACATAGGATATCAGCCTCCAACAGTCTGACCCCCTATTCGCACAGTCCGTTTCCACATTTCCCCACAGAAACTTCTAGGAGGCATCATCAACGCATCAGTGGCTTCCAGATGATCTGATCAGATGCTTCCATTCACTACCATTCCCTTCCATTCTCATATTCAGGCAGTCTATAAAGATCTCGCCTCTTTCCCACCTTAGATAGCAGAATCAAGAGTCTTCCAGTCCCTGATCTTTATGCCCACTTGCTCATCCTCCGTGCGATACCTACTCTTTTA